GGGGGGGGGAGGGCTTTTGATAATATAGTGGAAAAGTGTTAATTCTTTGAAGTCCATAGTATTGATGATGAGGGTAACTCTTCCAAATTTGTAAATTTCTTGACCCTTGGTCTTGGGTTCTGGTGTTAGGGTAAGGCTTTGTTGAATCTGTAGTGATCATGCATTGTACCTGTGAAATTCTTCTCTGCTTCTGGGCATTTCGGAAGCAAACTGAGTAAAAGTTTAAATGATATGAGTAAGCGTATTTCTACCAGATTTTTAAACATCTGGACCATTCGTCTAAGCATTCTGGTCCTGGGCAGGGCTCTATTAATTTGTATTCTACTGAGAGAAGTTATTCCCCTTTTCCATTCACCTTTGATAATTAATCACTGTAAATAATGTATTTGAAAGGTTAATAGAATAAGATAATTATGCAAGAATGTTTATCATATAATTAAAAAAGTACTTTCTTAGTTTTAATAATCAGGTAGACCTGTAAGTAATAGATAAATAAAAATGAGACAAAAATAACTTATCTTATTAAAAGTTCTTTAAAGACCATAAGAGAGGTCAATGCTAGAGGTCTTAATATGGGTTTAAAAATAGTACAGAAGCACTTATAGTTTGTTAATAGTCTGCATGGTGATAGTGTTAAGGACATTGGCAAGTCAAGGTTTTCCGGAGAAAGAAGGTTTAATACATGGGTTTTTTCACTTATAAAATAGTGATTGAGAGTGATCTCCCGTGTAGAATTCTCTAAGCGGTGGAAACCAATAAAGCGTATGTTACAGCGGTAAACAAAAGCACGTGTACTTCCTTCAACGGGTAGAATCATCTATACAGCAAGAAAGAAAAGTAGAAATGGCTTTGTTGTACATTTTATTCAGGGACAAAGAGCCAATAGGTCGTCATTTACGATAGTTGTGCTCAGTATGCTGGGAAGGGCAAAGATGTGACATATGCTGAAAGGTAGGCCGACTGAGAACAGTTCTTAGCTAGGTCGTGTGAAGGAAGCAGCATTTAGTAACTACGAATAAAAAATAAAAATAAAACAATGCCAATATTTTTGTTACAATGTGTTTCAATCAATTAAGTCAACTACATGATTAAAACAATCAACCAGTCTCTTGATCAATTTTAGCTGTTAAGGGAAGCAACTCAGAAATAATGATCGGTGCCGGTATATCCATGTTTTGTTCCGATATATAATTTTTTAGCCAAAATTTCTAGAAGTCATAGGAAATGAAGATACAATAATGTATATAATACAAAAACTGTATGAAATAAGTGGGTTTTGGAAAAATATTATGGTGAAAAATTATGTAGGTCCTTTTTATCAACATTTTACATAGGAAATGCATTGAGAAGTGTAAAAACATTGATTTCACAAAATCTAAAAAAGAAGGTTGGATTGGTAGGTTAAACGGTCCAGAATATAGCCTGTTTAGTACATTTAAACCTACTCAAGAGTTCTTGAAAAATTCTATACGATAACCTGGAACCTTGCCAATGTCCTTAAGTGGGGGACAGATTAGAACTCAATTTCTGAGTTGATAGTGAATACTAGACTAATTATTTTGTTGATCCTGATCTTCCTACTTCTCTTGTTTTTGTTCTTCTGCTCTGCCTCTGGGTATTAAGTAATCAAAGTAAGCATGCTAACTGTATAGTTATGATGAGCAATAGTGCCTCTTTCAAAATTGTGAATTACATGGCCTCTGGTTTAAAATACAAACCAAATTCAATTGTTGGAAAGTTGTTACACAATACTCAGGTGACCTATAAGGCCCGTGGGCCTCTTGTTATTTGCTACAGTATATACATGTACTTAAAATAACTGCAAATTCCAGGGGGGGGGGGTCCGGACCCCCCCCCCCCCCCGATCCGCGCATGCTTTTTGAGATGATAACATAATAAATATTATCTAGACCAGCACAGGGTCAGAGTGGAAATAGAAATTAGAGTCTGTCCAGGTATTCAAAAAAGGGAATAGTCATTCCTTAAGACTTGTGAAGTTCAATCTCGCAGGTGCTTCAAGTTCAAAGGGTAAGTTTCAATATCCAGGAATGGATCCTGGAAGACCTAAGCCGAAAGACCAGGCAAGCATCTCATAAGCACTTATCCTTTGTCCAGGGTTTAATTCCTGTCAGGAGCTAAAAACAATTAAAACAAAGTAAAGAATTTATGTCCCCTGCTTAAGAAAAAAAGAAGAGGGAACTAGAAGAACTGGAAAAATTTTGCAGATGGAGGAAGAAAAAGTCAACTTTGACCTTTCAGCTTTTGGCCTTTATATCAGTAAGAGTCTTTTTTTAAAGTTAAAGAAATTGAAGACCAAAAGCTCACAGAAAAAATAAAATTATGATCAGAAAATTAAATACTTAGAATGCAATACATGTATATATAATTTCTGATTTTGACCTTTGACCTTAAAATCAATACGGGATTTTAAGGCTATAGGGCATTGTGATATAAAATTTCACTGTAAAATCTCAAGGCTTCTTAAGATATAATTGGGAAAAGAGTGTTACGATACAAAGAGAGAAAATATATGAATTTATGATCTTGATATCTGACCTTTTGACCTCCAAATCGATAGGGTTCTTCTTAGGCCATAAGGAGTTGTTTTATTAAAGAAAGTTCAAAGAAAACTGAAGTCACCAGCTAGAAAATGTTATTGAAATATTTTGACTTATGGCCCTTGATCATTTGACCTCAAAATCAAAAGGGATCTTCCTTAGGCCATTATTATTTTATTATTCTACTTTTATATAGCGCCTTATCTAATTTTACAATTATCCTAAAGCGCTTAACATGTAAAAACAAGTACAATATAGAACGAAGAACAATAAATGAAAAAAAACACCAGACTAAAGTTCATATAAGAATTAAAATTAAAAGATTTTAATTTATTTTAATATTGGAGTAAAAATCAACTGGATGCTTAGTTAGTGTCTTATAAATCAAAAGTAAGTTTAAAAAGATGTGTTTTAACTTTTGTTTAAAAACGACAAGTGACTGTTCGCTCCGAAGGTCCAGCGGGAGGCAGTTCCACAGGGTGGCTGAGGATACATCGAACCTTCTATACATTTATCTCCATACAGCCTACTATGAGTACGTGGTTTTAGAAGGCTCAGTGAATCCCCAGACCGAAGTAGCTTGTGGACGATAGATAAATGTATGCCGGGGCTAGTTTCTGTAAGGCCTTGAAAGTATACAAAAGTATTTTATATTTTGTACGATATGCCACAGGTAACCAATGAAGAGTTATATGAGAATTGGTGTAATATGCTCATGTTTCCTTAAACGTGTCATTAGTCTGGCAGCAGTGCTTTGAACTTTCTGCAAGGATGTGGCATTAAGACCATAAAGAAGTGCGTTACCATAATCAAGTTGAGATGTAACGAGTGATCTATAACAAGTGTCCTGCACGCATCCTCTGTTACATGTATAAGTGATCTTACTCTACCGATGTTACGAAGATGGAAATAACAGGATCTGTAGTTACTGAATTTATTTGGCACCCCATACTAAGTTTGCTGTCGAAAAATGCCCCCAGATTTTTGACACTTGAAGCATTATAATTGATGACTGATCCACCAAAAGCGAGTTTACGTCCTTGACGGCCATAAAGAGATATGATATAAAATTCCATTGCAAAAGCTTAAACAGCTGTTAAAAGACTGTTTAAGATATCGTCCGGAAACGAAAGTGTAACACACAATTCACAAACAACTTTTTTTAAGTTTTATTTTCATAAATATTTTTTTTTAAATATTAAAATGTCTTAATTCTTGACTTCTCTTGATATGTTTTTATTTATTAGATATTCATATTATGCATTCATTCATAGCAAATTGTAAACTATAAAGGATCTCTTTTGCAAATAAAACAATTTTTACACTGTTTCTGAAAAAAAAAAATCATTTATAATAACTGAGGACATTGGCCTTTAAACAGCTGTTAAATGCTGAAACCATAGTTTAAAAGGGATCCATCAAATAAAATTTTGGTGTTGCATTTTTCCTTAACTTGAGATTAAGATACTATCCCACAGGCACTTGTTTCGTATACGGGACACCCCTATTTATTTTTACCACAAGGTACCTAACTCAATTTCAGGCACCCCCGCTTCAAGCTCGTATTTTGTTTATATATCAATCATTAACCTACTTTAAAATGACATCGTTCGTTAGAGTTAGGTACCTTGTGGTAAAAATAAGTAGGGGCGCGGGTGCCCCGTAAACGAAAGAAGTGCCTGTGGCATGTCATTTATTTTTATTTTATACTAAATTAGACATACGAGTATGATCTACATATCTAAGCCATACGAAGTAATGGTATAAAATTTTATTGCAGTGAGAAGAAAGGGGCCATTGAAAAATTTTACTTGTTAACAAATGAATGATTAAAAATTTAATTCAAGAAAAATTCATCCCTTTTGTACACATTATCGAGAAAAGTAAATATAAGACTTAGATTATCCACACGAATGTATTTTTGGTCTTTCTATTATATCTCAACACGTGAATTTATTAAATAATCAACATGTAATTTAGATTGTTTTTAACTCATTTACAGAGCCGAAACGAATATTAGTAGAGCGAATTACTGAAATTTAAAGAACCAATCATTTCTTTCAAAATCAGTCATGTGATCGTCGTTATCAACCAGTTTGTAAACTAAGATGGAGGACTAGGGGGCATAATAGGGTAAATAAACCAAAATAATGTCACGTTTACCTCTGTTATCGTAGTATAGCTATTGATACTGACTCAGTTATATCAGTATTTTTCCCCAAGTCACTTTAATTATTAGACAGAAAGTCAGTTAATAGATTAACTCTGTCGACCTTGTGCTATCTTATAAAATATGATGATAGGCTGTATATAATTTTAAACTTAAATCCAAGGCAGCTAAAAAGAACCCTAACAATTAAAAAGAAAAATGCATACTATGATCATAGTACCTACCTTAAAAATTGTTGTAGATTTTGCGGGTTTGGAAACATCTATACTAAACATGGAGATCTTGTCAGACGACAATGCTTCGGAATCCCGCTTTCCTCTGAAGAAACCTTTGCCCCCAATAGGTGTAGGAGGGAATAATGACGACATTGAACTCCCAAACTCGGACTCAGAAAGTCAAGACGAACAAATTAATTCTAAAGACGACGACGACGACAAATCCACTGTGTCAAATGGTAAGAGTGTGAAAATTAGCATTGTGATGTCACAACTGCAGGACATATTATGACGTCACGAATTTATTTATTGCTTGATCTAACTGTGATGTCATAGTAAATATTGGTAACTAAAATGCAGCATCCTCAAAATGTAGATAATTTTTTCCTACAATTATGTACAAACTGAATCGCAACAAAAACATACCATCTTATGGCGGAGAGTATATTAAACTTGATTGCCCACCTTGGATATATTATGGTATATTAAGTAAAGGTATGACATGTTTTGCTTGAGTATTCTTATTCATCATTTGTATGTTAGATTTAGAGAATTTTTGTTGGTCACTTTCATATTTTCGCTTGGACATATAACTATCACTTATCTGACAAGTCTTTGGATGACATATCTTTTACTTTCAATTTTTACTTAACAGCTTCATCTACAGCCAAACAAGGTAGTGGTAAAACTCGGCCAGCAGTATTAAGAGGATTCCGAAGAGAAGCTCCAGAACCCGAATCAGGCACTGACAAGAGCTCAGGGGACGGCACACCCACAGGGTATAAGACAGTGCAGATTTTACATTTAATATATGGATAATTGTCATGTAATATGTATTAATTATCATGAAAATTAAAAAAAAAATTGAGGAATTTATTTTTTTTATAGAAGAAAGTCCAGGTCTAGGAAGAAAGACATCATGAAAAGAAAAACCTATGATGGCCGAGAAGTTACGTTTATAACAGAGAATACCCAGACAGATTGGGACTGGCTAGAGGAAGCAGAGAAATCTGGAACAGCCCGTCTTCTGGGACCTCGAGATAGTGAGTCTCACTTAAAGACTTATTGGTTCAGGTTCTCTCATTCAGGGATAGGATCTCCAATCACTGAAAACTTGTTAATCTTGTAGTGGATACTTGAAGGTGTTATGGGCAAAGGGCATCTTTTTCTCTAGCACTTAGGAACACTATTATGCTATGGACAAATGCTTTCAAACTATCGTATTTTACTTTTAAGAAATGAAATATTTAAGACATTTGTCTTGATATATTCTGTCAATCAACAATATCTAAAATAATGGTATGTACAATATTAGTTTTTAGTTAAGATTAACAAATAAAACAATTGCAGAATAAGAATGATTAAGTTTGCACTGGTTGCATTTGGTCAGGTAAAAAAACTTCTGTTACATTCTGTGGATCATATAAAGCTTTTCAGTGACTTATGTAATATTTCAGAGAAGGGTAAAATGCAAAAGAAAGATTCTCTTACGACTCCACCCAAGATTATCCCCAAAGGTTAATTCACTTAGCCATTTTGTCACCAAAAATAAGTGATACTTCACCAGAATGTGTTGATTTGTTAATGTTAAAAACTTCACTGTGCAATCACCTTAAACTCTGATGCAGAATTCAAATGTATTATAGTTTTCCCATTAGATCACAGGCTTAAACTGATCTGCAGAAATGCAGTCTTAATGCAAATATATGAAAAATAATCTGTAATACATTAGGTGGTATTTCTAACTAAAAAATGAAGAAAAAAAAATTAATCGTGAAATTTTAAGATTCTAAAATTAATAATTAATATACAGCTGAAGTTCAGTATCTGCAACACTTATATCTCAAATACCATGGATTTGTCAAACTGATTTGGAAGTACCAACCCCTTATTCTTAAGTTTTTGACCTTGGATATCTCAAATCCTCGGATATCTCTCTGTTTTTTCTCAGTCCCATTGAGTTCGAGATGACAAGATTTGACTGTACATGTATCTTAAAGAAATGATATCTTGTTTGTCATACTTGTAATATTAAGGCAGTTATTTACTGTACCATCAAACATTAAAACTTATACACAGTAACACTTTCCTAATACATCTGTGTTTAGTTTTCTCTGTTTCCAGTGATTATCACACTAGTGTGCCGTGGGGTAGAAGCACTTTTCTTCACGTCTTCCTGTCTTTCAGGTTTACTTTCTTTGCACGAAGAAGATGGCCTCTCTCCTAGAGCAGGTAATATTACACACTCTTCTAACATCTTTCCTGAACACACTGAGGGAGAGTGAGTTAAAAATTGAAGTAAGAAACCAAGAATCCATCACATTTGATCTTGAGTATGATTATGTCAGATATGCATGTATGCATTAAGGATAAGTCAAGCTTTATATTCTGCAGTCCTGAACGTACTATTAATTTGATAATTAACTTTGAAATTGAAAACTTCCAAATACCTCAAAGATTTTTGTCAGACCTGCTGTGTTGGAGAAATGGAAGTTTGATTATATAATAAGTTAAATCATATTATTCATTTTGCATTTTGTGTTCTTAGATTATGTTTTTATGTCTTTTGAAGTAATTTTGTTATGTTTTATGATAAATTCATTTACTAGTGTTGATACAAAGATAATTTCAAATGAGCTTAAAAGAAGTCTATTTTTGAATGTTGTCAATGAGTTTTGAATAGGAACTCTTATCTATTTTTCTGAAAATGTTCATTCAGATACATGAAATACTTAATAAAGTAAAAAACACAGCACATGGCTAGGCTACTTCTATTGCTACTGATGTCTAAGATGATATACATGTATTCCCAAAAATCTTTATTTAGCCTCAGATTAAAAAAATAATTAATACTTTCAATTCTTCTTTCAGAACTCAACTCCCACTTCTTTTTCACTTTAATGTCTGGTTTATTCCTGCATTGGTCCTTTGCCACAGTATTTTGATTTGTAGCAAACACATCTGGCATTATGTAAAATTTTGTTTGAAGCCATTTTTTCTTCTTTGTTTATGTGTTGTATGCAACTTAAGGTACAGAGCAACTACTTGCATGTAAATTACTTTCAAATGATGTGAAGTCATTTTAGTTTTCATGATAGATTTAAGAAGAAACATCATATGACTTCAAATAAATTTTATGCAATTTTAAGCAATTCTTGTATTTCAATGACATTTTTTTTTGGACAAATTTATGGAGAAATTAGACATTTTTTTCTTGCCCTGACACTCCTGCAGTACTGCAACTTCCTGTTTAGTAAAACAGAATTGTATGATATTTACTGGCAATGAAAATTCAGTCCATTAGCATTTTGATGTATTGTATACTTACACATAAATATGGCATCCAATTGTATGCACCAGATAAATGACATTATGTTTGGATTGGTCCTCATAAATATGTTTTCACTGGGACAAGATGACTGAAATTAAAATCAAATTAATTCAAACGTACTATAATTAATTTCATTAAAATTAATTCTTAATCTTTTGTTGTTAACCGATGTAGGTAAGAAGGAGGAGTCTAAGACAGACATCCCCACCGTACAGGAGGAGTCCTCAGCCCCCTCACCTTACCCAATCAACGACGAGTTTGGGGTCCCAATGTTAGAACTCAGTAGTGACTCAGATACGGTAAGAATGCATTGTGTTGTAAACAGTATATGGATATATTGCCATTTTATTTTTATAGTTTGATTGTGTTCATGATCAAAACTTTAAACTAGATTGTTTTTTCTCTTTTGTTAAATTTGACATTTTTACATTGACAGCAATGAAAATGGTAAATAGTTTTGGCATGTTAAATTCAGAGGTGAACTATAGGTTGCATTTTTTAAAATTAAAAAGTGTAAGAAAATTCAATGCTGCATACAGTTTAACATAAAAATTTTAAATTGTGCTACTGGATTTTTTTTTTTTTTTTTTTTTTTTGCGTATTCACAAAAAAAGAAACAAACAGAATAAGAGTATGATGTTTTTACTTGTTATTAATATTATGTGATCCAAATGAAATAGAATTTATTGTTATAAAGAGTTCTGATGAGGAAGAATATACAGGAAAGAAAGTGCAGGATGATCGCACTTTCATGCCTAGTATCGGTCCACCGCAAATCCTGCAGGTAAAATGGGTGTGGCTTGTGTAGAGCTTTAGTGTTGGAAGTGTGGCTTAATTTAGCAAGTAGAGAACCAGAAACTAATTAGTCAGAGGTGGAGGCGGGGCTATGACTGTCATTCTAATTCCTCTTTTACTAATTATCATGTGGTGTGATTTTTTGTTGAAAGAGTTTTTGCTACTAACTAGAGCATTGTTAATTGTACTAACAGTATTTTAGAAAAATAATAATATGAGAAAAAATTGCTTGGGAAATTTCTTTTTTAAATAGTTGCAAGAAAAAAATTGTGTGTATACATTGCAATGATTTAAAAATAGAATCATATTGAATAAACAGCTTAAAAACAGAATCATATTGAGTAAGCAGCTTTTGGTATTTATCACGTAAGTTGACTGAACAATTCAATGGTATATCCTTTGCTGTATTAAGCAATTTTAGAAACAACAGCAAGATATTAATTCCTATGTGCTTTGAAGTATACCCTTGCACTGTAAAGTAAAATTTATTATTAATTGATGCACAAGTTGTTTGTTTTTACCCTCATATTGTATAAATTTCAACTTAGGAAAAAAAAAATCATGTTTTTTACTCTTAGATATAGTTTATAGTGTAGTTGTTGGCAGTGAACTAAGCTATTAGCCATTATCTTTTCTTGACAGCTGATGCAAGTGTTCAGGTACATTTCAGATCTGTTGTAACTTATATTGTAAGAAAAGGCACTGATTTAATTTTATTGTCAGAGCAGATTCAGAAACTTTGATTTTTATCTGTCATTTTTGGTTAGCGAAAGTGAAGCTCATTTTCAGTTGTTTTATTTCACAATTTTTATTTCTTGTAAAACTATTTATATGACATTGTTTTTAAATGCATGTTTTAATAATTTCATAATCAGATGAGGAAATTTCTTACAATTTAACATCACTTAATTCAGTCAGTGGTGGTTTTGTACAAAATATCTATAAAATGTTATTTAATTGACTGCTCATTTCATAGATATTTACAGGTAGAATATTTGTTAAGAATGAAAGGATATTGTGAATTGTAAAGAAGCTAATTATATACCCAAAGCAAAGTGAGATTAAATAGCAATTTGTGCAGTTTTGAATGAGATGCTAAATGCTGATCATATATTTTATAGTATAACAAGGAATCTGAGAAAAAGGTCATCGAGGTCAGTGACCCCTCTGAGCGCACTCAAGAGGAAGAGGCTGAAGTAGATGAGCATGGCCGTGTCGTGGGAATGTTCGGAGGAACTTGTGAATTCTGTGGTCATGCTGTCCAGCCTTGGCCGACCCTGGAACAACAACAGACCCTGCCCCCAGACCAGTTGTACTGCTGTAATGATTACAGGGAGTTTGTAGAGTTCACCACAGAACAGGCACAAGCTGTAGAGGCAGAACATCGCTCACTGACCAAGAAAATCAGCATTTCCAGTCACCCTCACTATGGGAGCTCAAAAGAGGATAGAAAAGTGGCTAAAGAGAGAGCGTTACAGAGGTAAGGGAAAGCAGTGATGCCTGCTTTACTGTGACTTCTGTTGATTTTGAGTGGAAAAAATATAACTTACTCAAAAGACACTTATCAACCTGAACCTTTAGCGAGAAAGTAACATTTTAAGTTAGAGTAATTAAAGTGCATAAATTTTAATAAAGTAAGAGGAAATCTAAGTTTGAGAGAAATCCCAATGTTGATGGGTAGCTTAGGTTGAATATTTGACTCATTTTTACAATGTACAAGTATTAATATTGCAGTAAATTTTGTACTTTTATAGACTGTTATTGTATGTTATAGACTGTTATAGACTGTTATTGTATGTTGTAGACTGCTATTGTATGTTATAGATTGTTATTGTATGTTATAGACTGTTATTGTTTGTTGTAGAATGAGAGAGAAGGAAATGCAGAGAAAACAACAGGAAGCTTCCGGCTTTCAGCAACAGTCAAATTTCTATTCTTGTAAGTTTATCTCCACAGTGCTTATAGTAGCTTTTATTGCTCATCGTTCAAGCCAAATTTTTATAGGGCTATGAACAGTTTGGTTATCTTTTCATTTAACATATTTTTGCTTGCAATTTTATAATTAAATTAATTTCTGCTCCTTTCACAGTAACAGCAAAAATTGCCTTATTAATAAATTTAACCTCTTGTTTTTCATGTTTTCAATTTTATTTCTTCACTTTTTTTCCTTATATTAATATTAATCTGCTAAATTGTTATATTTTGGTGCTTTGTTTCTTTATTTTATCACTGGAGGACCAAACTTGTCTTGAAACTTATTTGCATCATTAGAAATTTTTTAAATTTAAAAACAAACTTCTTTAAGAAAGGGTGCTATACACAGGTTTGGTTCTCCTCATTTTGATTCATCTGAGACTACAAGTAATATTTCAGCTGAGAATTTGAAAAACCAAATATTGAGAAAATTAAATATCATTTGCTAAAAATTGTAAATAAACCGGATGTTTATTTTGAAGATTGACATCATAGACTTTGGATTTATTATCTTATAATTAAAATGAAGTAGCTATTATTTATAGTCTCAGGAATGAACTTTGATATTCACTGGATGTGTAACCTTGTATTATTTTGTGTGTGGTTTAGCCGTTAGACCTGTTTTTCGACACAGACAACTGATGAACGTCCAGAATATGTACAAAGATTTGGGTAGGTGCCACTGCATGACCTAATGACCTTTACCCAGAATCCAACCCTATAAAGTTCATATCCCTAAACAACTACCAATCAAAACTCATCTAGCTTGCTTCATTTATTGGCAAACAGCATTTGAGTCATATTGATAATAGAAATATGTATAGCTTGAATTACAGTGGGTATTTGGATTAATTTTTATATATTTTTTCATGTGTATTCATTTCACCTTCTGTCATTTTTCTTGTATCTCGTACAAGAAATATTTTGCCAAAGCATTTCAAAATTATGCATTTACATCAGAAAAACACATTCCTAATCATTGCTTTATACTTTTCCTTCATTAGCTGATTTTTGTATGGTTTATCATTGTAGATGTTCATTTATCAATGTTCATTTTTAAGCAAATTCTCATTCCTTTTCTACATGATTCTAATTCCTTCTTTCTTTTCCTCCTTTGTCTGTCTTTCTGCCTGTTTTGTCACATGACCAGCTTACAGAAGTCGAAACAGATTCCTGATGGATTCGTATAGTATTTATGGTGATTCAGGTATGCTAATTGAATCACTTAATCATTATACAAATTTTATTTATATGGTACAGTAAACCTTAAGCATATGTGATACATATATAGATTCTCCAATCCATTACACACTTGCATAATCTCTTGATTAAATTGTAAATATTGTGTGCTAGCACAGTATTAATAAGTATAAATGATGATATAAAATATATTACGTGCATTACAATTTGCAGTGATACTGGAAGTATGAAAAGCTGGTATTTTCCTAATTGCATGATTTCTTATATATATGTCTTAATTATTTTTAACCTACTGAGATACATAATTTGCTCAATAAGATCTAAAATTTAAAAAAAAAATTTTAAAAAGCATGAAGTGTGATTGAATTAAATCAAAGGCTTCCAGGACTGACATGTAAATGTATTGAGTTTTAATTTTCACATTACAGACAGCCAATCACCACCACCATTACCAAGCATAGGTTGTGGGTCATTTTTGTATTTTATATTGCTTTTCAGAGCTATATTTTACCCACAAGCCCAACTTATATCTTAGATACCACAGTTTGGTGTGCCATCACATTTTTTTACTGGTTAGAGTTATTTCCCTTAGTTATTGCTTACACCTTTTGCTGAGCTTGGTAAGGGAATTTGCTGACTTACTTTATGTGGAAACAAAAGCAAGCTAGAGCAAAAAGGAATATTCAGTTGTTTGTTCCCAATTATCTTTTGCCAAGTTCTGGACTATAAAGAATTGTGCATTTTCCCAAGTTATTCCCCTTAGATGTGTGTGTGCAGTTACTTCATTATTTTTAGGTATTTGTGATTATATACAATATTTCAAGTATATTTATTTTTACATTACCATCATTTGTGTGTCATCAAAGGAACCAGAGTTTGCTTTACAAGAGAGTAAAACTTCATATTGTAGTTTATAGTATTGTCCTGTGTTGGCAAGGAAGAAAAGGATTATCCCCCTTTGTGTGTTACTCTTCTGTACAGCTTAACCCCAGATTTTTGAAGAAAAAAAATATTTTAGTAAAACATTAAAGAAAGAATTTTATCTTTTGGTTTAACAAAAATCGATAGAAAAAAGATTAATTCCAGTGACTAGAAATGATGTATTAATACAAAAATTTATAATGTGCAAACCGTATATCTTAAAACAGAATTTACTACAATATATATTATTGCTATGTTATAATATTAAAATAAATCTAATATAACAAAATGCTTACAAATATAATCAGATATATGCGTATTACTGACCCCATGCTTTTCTGGATTAAGCTAGGAATAATATGTTAGTATTAATACATAAAAAGTTAAAACAATTAATTCAAGTAATTCAAATAAATGATGCAAATAAAATAAAATTTGTTGCATTACACATTTTATAATTTAATTTTTTTTTAAATTTTATAACAAAGTAAAATTTTCTCAAATCCTGTGTGGAAAATTTTATATAATATATTTATTTACTGCAGATGAAACTTTTGATTTCCCCAGTAAAAGTCCTACCAAATCAGGGTTAAGTTTCCATAAATCTAGGTCCCCTGGGAGTTTTATTCACTCTGGTGCCAGTAGGCAGCAGGAAAAGTCCGAAAAAATTCTTACCTACGCAGAACTTCGTAACCCAGAGAGTCGGTCTGGGCTGGCAGGTAGATCATGCTCAGTGGAGCGGAGGAGTGGTCATTTTATAATGTGTGTCAAAATAGTAGTACATAGAAGATATATATTCTCTTAATATCATACTCACGGATCAATGATTTTTAACATGTCATATTAATTTATAAAATATGGAAGGAATATATTGTTATAAATGTAGGTTGACAGTTTAATATGAACTATAAGCAATTTAATACGTATGTTCTGGTAAATGGATATTTGGAACCAAGAAATAACAGGCCTATTTTTAGTTGGTAATTTATGGTGGTGAAAAAAAAAATTAGCATTGGAAAATCTTAACAAGCAGCTTTCTAATGTGTCATTTAGCATGGTCAACACTAACATCAGTATATCACCCTAGCATTAATCATTATTTATTCCTATTGCATTGTACACTATGTATCAAATCTTCCATTAAATGACTTCAAAATTTTATGACATTTTAAGATCTTCATTCTCACTCTTCTTTCATTACATTAATGTTTAGAAATTATCAGTTTCCTCTTTTTTTTTTTAGCTTCTTAAAAATGTTATTTAAGCGCATTATGAAAATCATAGAGCACTTTAAATCTTCCGTAAGAGTCCCCACTAACACTATTGTCTGTGCTGTTTTAGTTGCTCAGAAGATGAAGACAATAAATTACCAGCTATCCTCCCAGAAATGTCTGGAGGAGGGCTGGACCGTCCGTCCCCCCAGTCCCCTTCAAGGGGAGGAGGAAGATGACACCTTCATACCGGAACCCATCAACATCGACCTCTTAAAGAGTGGAAAGGTAAACAGTAAACCCTGTATATAGCACACACAATACAGTAAAACCTGTATATAGCACACAATACAGTAAACCCTGTATATAGCACACACAATACAGTAAACCATGTACATAGCACACAAAATACAGTAAACCCTGTATATAGCACAAAATACAGTAAACCCTGTATATGGCACACAATACAGTAAACCCTGTATATAGCACACACAATACAGTAAACCCTGACTATTGCACACACAATACAGTAAACCCTGTATATAACACACACAATACAGTAAACACTGTATATAGCACACACAATACAGTAAACCCTGACTATTGCACACACAATACAGTAAACCCTGTATATAACACACACAATACAGTAAACCCTGTATATAGCACACACAATACAGTAAAACCTGTATATAGCACACACAATACAGTAAACCCTGTAGATAGCACACACAATACAGTAAACCCTATATAAAGCACACACAATACAGTAAACCCTGTATATAACACACACACAATAAAGTAAAACCTGTATATAGCACACACAATACAGTAAACCTGTATATAGCACACACAATACAGTAAACCCTGTATATAGCATACACATTACATTAAACCCTATATAAAGCACACACAATACAGTAAAACCTGTATATAGCACACACAATACAGTAAACCCTGTATATAGCACACACAATACAGTAAAACCTGTATATAACACACACAATACAGTAAACCCTGTATATAGCACACTATACAGTAAACCCTGTATATAGCACACAATACAGTAAACCTGTATATAGCACACACAATACAGTAAACCCTGTATATAGCATACAATACAGTAAACCCTATATATAGCAAATATGTCTTATAGTGAATACATCAAATGCAGAAAAGGTATACAGTAAACCCTGCATATAGCACACACCTCTTATTGTGAATACCTGCCTAATATGATCAGTTTATGGTTTTTCTATTAGTACAGTATTTGTCCCTATAAGAGTTCTTGCCATATGTCCCCCTGTTACTTTTAATTTTAAAAAAAGATATGTTTATTTTATGATCAGTGTGTAATACTGCAAATAATACATGAGATACATTGAAAGTTTGTGAGTGGTTCATGCCTACGATTTTTCTGTTTTTAGTTGGGTCTAGTGGAGAAGTATTACGAAAATGGACAGAAATTCCTGACCATGTTTCCGGATGGAACAGGGAACATTTTGTATCCTTTTTGTTTGTCATGGAAAATTTTGTTTATGTTTTTATTCAAAGAAATACCAAATGAATGCTTTTCAATTCAAGATTTAAAAAAAAAACTCTATTGAAAATGATTTACAAATGAAAAGGGGAAAAGTAACACACTTTATTAAAATGAATAAGTGCCATGAGCAAATTTAAAGGCTGGAGTCATTAAGTATATTATTGGGCTTTTTCTTCCTCCTCTCCCTCATAAATATTATGTAGCTATATTTTTCCTTAATTGTGCCTAGTTATCCATCAGGTAATCTGGCTATTGCTATAACCTCAGTACAGCTGGGACAATTTAATTATGTGGTACAGGCAGATATAGAGAAGCCCAGCATCCTTGCAGTGTTTGAACCCAATGGGTTTGCCTGTTGTTACCACCCCAATGGTGTTGTCAGGTATGTTATCAATGACATATTACTCAACTGATTTTAAAACTGATTTTAAAAAATCCTCAAAAAAAGGAGGCTTTTGAGTAGTACTGTACCTGTATCTAAATCACTTATCATAATACTCAGTAGTAGCTTAATTGATTAACATTTGTAAGGTACTGCCATTCTCTGCAATATTATGATTATGTAAAATAAATCATTTCCACTGTAGTAATTATCTTGCACATATGATATACCATCATAAACTGTATGTGTACTTAAAAAATTGGGCTTCATATTTTAGCGGCTTTGGCGCAGACAACGATGCACTAATTCATGAATACTGCTGAGAAATAATTCATAAATACAATATATGGCATGGACATGTATAGCGCTAATTCATGATTTCGCCAACAACTCCATACCCAGTGATTGTGCTAAATTTTGAATATGCCAATTTTTGTACACATACAGTACATGTAGCATGATGGTGTCTTTATAAGATTGATGGAAAGATTTGATGATTCAATGCATGTAATTCTACAATTGTATGAACAATTACATAAGCAAAGAAATAATGGCTGTAGTATGAATTAATCCTCTTTTGTTCAGATTGAATATGGATCAGCTAGGAGGTATAGAACTGGATTACACAGGAGCCAAGAAGAGAAAATGGTTGTGGAAGGATCAGAACACCCACGTCCACGCTCCGCCATTCCAACCCATCCATTTTCTCCTGAACCATTACATCGGGGTCAGGATTCTCGCCCAGGAGAGGATGGTTCTAGACTTTAGTGCAGGGGACAGGGGGAAGAGGTTCAATGTGGGGGCTAGGCTTAAGGTGAGGCTTTTTTACTTTGACTGTTACATACGCTGTGAGGGATTTAGAAAAAGGCACCTTTAATGGTGCTGTTTTAATGTAATGTGCTTACTCATGATAATGTTTAAAATTTGACTTCTTACAAATGTGATAAATAAAATCACTGATTACAGTAGTTCATGATAAGGCTAACTAGTTCCTGTCTTGCAATTGATTTTAAACTGTAAAATACCAATTAAATCAAACATTTTAAGGACACTGAAATAAGCTCATGTTAAGTACCTACTGTTGTATGAGTCATTTTTTGGGCATTTGATGACCAAATTTTTTTATGCCAATTTAATCTATTTCTAGTTGAATCATGCTGAAAAGATTCCCCCTAAAGAGATAGATGAGAATTACCTGTACTTAGAGGAACAGAAAATCCGAGTAGAGTAAGTTGTACTACGAATTTTTTGCAAGCATTTTATATACTGCTGCTCCTTTAAAATCAATACATGCAAACTAGCTCCTTTCAATAATATAACTTGTTGAAGTATGAGAGTATTTGGGGAAAGCTTCTGAGGAAAAGATACACATCAACAACAACATTTAGAATTTTCAGTAACATTAATCCTTTGAATTAATCGAAAATGAATTTAAAATTTCTGTTCTATATGTCATTAAATATGTTATGTTAAACAATTAAATTTTTATATTAATTTCTCTCATTGTAGAAAAATGTTGGATAAGGTGGCCACATTGTTAAAATTCCCCAAATCTCCCAAAATAGACAAAATATTGCCTCCACTTCATGTGACGTCAAAGGCTCTGAAAACGGAACGTCTGAGACAGGAACGGGCCAATCAAATCGCAACGCAGGAGGCCAAGAAAAACAAACAGGCCCCCATCCCCGCCATAAGTTAGAGACTCCATTCATCACCCGTTTCCCATATCTGTGTTCAGCTGTGTCAGAAAAGGATTGTATGCTTTTGTCTATATCAAAGAGACTGTGTGTGGTCTGACTTTATATTCTGGTATAAGTGTTTCCTCTTAAAAGATATATTTATATTCGTTTGCAGGTTTGAATGGCAATATATACTAGTATAGTAATATGTATAATTAATTAAGATATTTATACATTAAATAAAGCACACACGCTGCCAAATCTTGCTGCTTTTATTGTATTCCGCAGCAATTAATTATGTTTTTACGTTGGTGTAGTTTACTCGGCTTCATATATTCTGTTCACTGTATTTAGTCTTGCTTGTAGCTCATCTCTGTACTAGTCACCCCTGCTGTTTTCCCCTGTCTCCGTTACTTGTACATTAGTTACCCTGATATTGTTCACCGTTTTTGTTTACACTTTTGTATATCGATGTAGCTATTTTTATCTGTGATATTTGCATTTATTGATATGTTTGTTGTTTGTTACTCTACAGTTGTTGGGAGTATTTTTATGAATGGTTTAAATGGCCATCATTGTTAAGCATTGTAAGACACACTTATCACTATTTTTGCTGATTTTAAAGATTAAATCAGGGGGATTGGGTATATTTCCTCTTTTTGTCTATATGTTTTAATGCATCAAATAACATGGGAGAAATCTTTGTATGACATAGTATTTGTGGAACATATTTTTTTACTGTACTGCTGATCATATTTCAAACCTAGCTGTAATGGGAGATACTGCTGATAAAGGTTTAAACATTTAGAGTTTATGAACTAGTTGTATATTTTTGGACCAAGTTTATGACATAATCAAATGTTATACAGTATTATATAGCATAGTGTTTAAAATTGTGGAATATGAAAAATTATGTATGTCATGGAACATTTTTTATAATAGAAATACTTGGTACATTGTAAGAGCAGAGCTTTCATTTTCCCACTCTGCAAGGTTTATCTTAAAATTGTGAATGTTCTCTGCATATCAAGCATTATATAAACAATTATTTAAATACTGACGAAAATGTTGTCATGTTGTTTCTACAATCAAAGGACTACGGAAAACAGGGTTATTTTCTCCATGTACGTTTGCCTCATTTTCAATTCACCAAGTCTCATTTGTGCTGATAACTATCTATTGTTGAATTCGCCCACTGATGCCAAGGGAAAAAATAAAATGATGGGAAAATTATCCTGTATAATTATATCAATATAAGCCAATTTTTTTAATACTTAGAAATGAACAAACCAGGAAAATTTTGCCCCGTGTTATTTTCGCCCTTGTCACAAGTGTGCAAATTTAAAACTGGGTGAATTCAAAGTAAAAATTATCTCTTAAACACAGTTGTGTCTTGTGAATTTAAAATGACACAATTGTTTGCAAGTGTAAAAGGGCGAAAATGACCTTGTATATAGTATCATCAATTAAAAATCAACGCAGTGGTCTTGCTCAATTACTTATTGCTCTGATCATTCATAACATTGTACAAATTGTTACTATTGGGATTGGCAGGGATATTTATTTTCAGTAGTTAATTTCCTTTGAATTGGAGAATTGAGTGAAAATGTGAACTAATATGAACTTCTATGAAATATTAGGTAAATAAGCTCAGAAATTAATAATAATCATTACTTGGTAGTGCAATAACCTTGAACCCTTCCTGTGGATTTTGTTATGAAAAAATTGGAACATCTTCAGTATGAAATAGCAAGGTCATCTGACATCAAGCAACAGGAATGGGCTGATATTGGCACATACATCAATGCAATATCAAATGTATAAGGACCTCAAAAGACTTCACCTTTGACCTATGACCTTAAAAGGAAAGTCAATTCACAACCTCATGTAACAAACAAGAATTGTGTGAAGTGAAATCAACAATTCATAGGTTATAGGTAAATCCAACCTGGATTAAAATTATATACACAAACTTTTCTTCTCCAGAAACTTGAAAGAGCATGAATATGAAACGTCTCAATACAACATTTTTATCCAAACGTTGTATATTGCATCTTCAAAATGCATTTTTTCGCACTGACTTTGCAGAGCATGTTTTGTAGTTTTGTTTTCTTTCAAAAGTATTATTAAATTAAAATTGGAAAATGAAACTGAAAGATATAAGGTTAAAATGAAAATTTTTATTTAGAATATTCATGTACACATGCAGGCATAAACATGATGAAAAGATTTTGTAAGGAAAGGTTGTAATGGTTAAAAAATTTTGATTTTCACTTTCCCATAATACAAAACATTTAGGGAGCCAACCCTTGTTTTACAAAATGGAATTCAGTATCAGGGATAATATAAAGACATATATCACAATAATGTTTGTGCATTAAAGACATATAAAAAATTCAATACATTTTTGCTTTAATACTAAATGAACAACAGAAATACTGAAATCTAAATCATTCATAAAGTGTTCATTTAACATGTGCAAATAGAAATCAACAAAAAAATTAACAGAGTGCGGTAGTGTGTGTGTAACAGAAAATTTGCGAGTGTGAAATGAATGTTTTATCGTGCATTGTATGACATTACAATCAAACATTTCTGGTCTATTTCATGTCACTTATCAACAAAATACAATAGAAAGTATACAGACAAGAAAATAATGAAATAAATAGCTACAATATTATTCAAATATCACAGTCACAACTTTGTCAGTACAGAGTACATTTAGTAACATCTTTAAGTTTTGTAATTTTAAGAGTCCAGACTATAGTAATACACTGTAATTAAATCTTTCTCTGATCCAAAACCTGTCAAATCCACTGGTATAAGTTATACAGTTTTATAAAATTTAAGTCACACATACACATGTATACTCTGTCTTTGATCACATAGGCCTTTTCAGATTCAGATATATAAAAGTGACATACATGTAACATATGAGACATGGAAGTCCTCTGTCCTATAAATGGGCTAGTAACCAAATTGCACTTCTAAGATATCACAGAAATTCCCCCTGCGGCTGGGTGGAATGACCCTGTTCATCCATTAACCACTGAACACAGGAACTTGGTACACTAATGAGGAATTCCCCATCACCTTTTGACATTGTACTTGCGGAGTGTGGCCTCTGTACCTATTTTTAGCTGTTCTATGTGCGAGTCGATAAGTCTCTCTAGCTCTCTTGCTCTTTGATTTTCTGCTGCTAAAAATCTCTCTGACACAGAATTCCTAGAATTTGAGTCCTGAAAAGTAAGAAGAAAGAACTCACCAAACGGCTGCAATAATATTTAAGAAATCAAACATTCACCTGCCTAAATCAATATTTTCATTTGAAAGCAAGTTAAGACATAGCAACCCTCCTTTAAAATTTGTTGTATTTGACCAGTTTTATCAGAATGTTATAGGATTCATGTTTGCTATATATTCTTACAAATATTTAAGGTATGTCACTTGTGAAATTTGTTATATCAAGGATTTTTTGAGAAGTATATTTTGGATAAGTACTCATATAGTATGACTCAAAATCGCAGAGAAAATGGGGGGTCAGTGTGCATCTAACTGAGCTACGGTACAATTAAGTTGACCTTTTTGCACTTAAATTGTAACTCTTTGGTTAATCACTTTAACCGTTATCATATTTTATAAGATGTAACCATGGCAATAAACATAATCTTATTTTACGTAAAATAGTTTAAATAATATTTATCATTGAACAAATCATGAAAATTAATTCGCCTAAATTATTGTGTGACCTTTTTGCACTAAAAAAGTCTCATATTTGGGGTATTAAAAGTCTAAATAGGCAATAGAATATTTTCTTGTATCAAACTTTTTACGACTTAAGTGCTGATCTGTCAAAAGTATCGAGTAGTTTAAAATAATGAAAGAAAAAGTTGGGGTCAGTGATGTAAATTTTGAAATATTGGTCAAAATATGCGATTTTCAGGCAAAACACTATGTAAATTTTATCTCGACTTCCTTAATATATCTTCATTTCTTGGCAATGTTTGTTGAGCAAAGGTGTAAATTTTGTTATTAAAATATAAATTGAGACCTATATTTAATATTCCAGGCATATCATAACGGAAAATATTCTCTGAGTAAAAGTATGTGAGGCTAAAGTTCCAAGATATTAAATCTAATAAATGTGTAGATTTGCAGAATTTTCTGCTAAATATCCTTCCGCCACAAGAAATAGTCCCTTATAAATCTTGCTTCTTTGTGAATTTTTGAGCAGTTTTTTAATTGAATGTTGAACATTTTACATTGTTTAATTTAAATATGTAATAAAGATTGAATTGAAATAAATAGTTTTTAAGTAAGAGGTTCTGACTGAAATTTTCTAAAATGCTGACGAGTGACATACCTTAAGCACGTTTTTGAAACCCAATGCCCATTACAAAGTCCAGTTGATATTTGAACTTCAAATCAAGCAAGATCTTCATCTAACACAAAACTTTGTCCTACTGTTTGGCCACAGGCTATCTTACATCTTTAAATGTTCAAAAGTTGTGGTCGGACAGACCATTATATTTCAAAAATCTTTGAACTTTGGGCATACATCCAGGAAGAATTTTCTTTTAAGCTTAAAAATGCCTAAAGGTATTTGAAAAATCCATTCTTTTGATGTATATATCTTCTACCTCTACATTGCCAAAGTCATCATTGAGTGCGTAGTCATTAACACTCTCCGAGATGGACATAGCTTGACTGCTAAGGACGGTCTCAAAACTGTTGTCTGCCTCATGGTGGACCTCTCCATCACCGTTAGCCCGAGTCCCTCCGATCTCGACATCGTAATGGTCAATACCGCTCACAGGCTGACCTGAATGTGGCAAACAGATGCTCTAAATAATCTCTATACACAAAGACTGCCAAAAATTTGTAAATGCTTTACTCTCTGAGCATGAGATGACAACGTTCTTATATGAAGGTCTACTGTAGAATTGTCATTGTTCATGGGGTGGGGGAGTTCAATATTCATGGAATTTGAGGGTCAACTTTACCCATGAATTTACAGCAGCGAGCCCCATGATTAATAACTTTGTCAACATATCAGTTCTTTGAATCTTTTGTACATGCAAGTTGCCCATGAAATTACGTCCTCTTGAAGCAATAAATTTTTAATACCCATGAACACCGATCCCCCCACAAATTAAAATGATTCCCAGTATCCTCTTTTACTACCATACTTTTTAATATACTGTGAAATTATCATTGCTTGTGGGGGATCAATGTTTCTTGGATTTCATGGGAAATCCTTACCTACGAATTTACATCCCCACGAAACATTGAAACACACATGCATTGAGCACAGTAGAGCTATCTATCTTGATAAAACCTACAATTTACCCACAAAATTACATCACCACGAACCAGTAAAATTTTTGTTACCCATGAACGTTGACCCCCATGAACAATGATGATTCCACAGCATATTATTTTTCAAATGCAGTGACAATTGTGGGTTTAATTTTCTTCTAGTGTTAATCTCAGTACAACATACAAGCAAGAATTCCTAACGTACTGTAGTTACTATTCCTCTCCATGTCTAGCTGTTCCTCCAGGCGAGCTTTCTGACTGCGTAAGTAGCTAATCTCCTCCTCGTATCGCTGTACGGTGGAGTCGAGTCTCTCCTGGACAGCACGTAACTTCCTTTGGGAGTCTTCCTCTAATCTCTGCAGTCTCCTGTCAAAAAAATATTATATCATCAATTAATGTATAAAATTTACAAGTTTATTGCATGTGCTAGAAATTAAAAAAATCCTTTTAGATTCATAGAGGAGTGCATTTAAAATGATGAATCCATTTGAAAAAAATTGGAATGAATTGTCATAAATGGCATAAACATCCCTCTGAACTTAACTGCAAAAGGATCATATGCTCTTGGCTTTATCCCAAATATAGCAGTGTGAGTTTATGAAACACAATGCTTCAGTGAGGTTATCCTACAATAGCATACTGACCTACAGTTTAACCTCTGACCTATAACCTGACATTTGAAAGCTACAATTTGTTGTGTTTGTTTCAGAATCTGCTTGCTTTCTGTTTTGCTCTGATATTTGCTGCAATCGCCAAAAAAAAGATGTGTTTCTATGCTGACCTATCATCCCTTATACCTGATACTCCGTGCCAACATTTCCGAGTCCCTCAGAGCCAGGCATAACTCACCTATCATCCTTAGACCTGATGCTCTGTGTGGACATTTCCGAGTCCATTAGTGCCAGGTGTAACTCACCTATCATCTTTAGATCTGATACTCTGTGCGGACATTTCCGAGTCCCTTAGAGCCAGGCGTAACTGCTCCTCAAACTTCTCCTCCATCTCGTTCATTTCCTCCCTCAGACAGGCTAAGTCATCCCTCAACTGACGATTTTCTTGCTGCAACAGTCAAACATGTGGGTCAGTAATTATAACGGAGTAAACATGTGCAATTGAGAAATTAAGCATTTTCAAATTACATGTATGTAATTTTTTTTCGCATTTTTAATTCTAGTTACTAGTATTTATGAATCTTGATTATTAATGCCTGCAGTTCTTTGTAGCAATCTACTCAGAATTCATGACATACTGTACAGTGAATGGAAATATGTACTCTGCATAAAAATTTGGTTCATAAAATTTTGAAAAGTGAAACTAAGAGGAACAAAGACACTAAAGGTATGAAAATGAAAGTAGGAAAATAAGTGAGGGGTAAAGGATGAAAAAAATATTAAAGAAATGGAGAATTAATATGTAACAAACCAAACTTAATTAATAAAATATTAAATATAAAATCCCACACATTTTTCATTTAATACACCATGAATCAATTATTAAATAGTTAAATATTTTTTACCTCTGCTCTGAAAATGCCACGATTTTGTACATTGTACAGTAAATGAACACACATTGTTTGTTATATCATACATTGTATCCTCTCCCCCTCAAGTTTACCTCCAATTTCATGATGGTTGTGGTGTACGCATTTTGTACTGCTGTAAGATGATCCTGAACTTTGTCAAAATCGGAATCATTTTTGGCTTGTTGTAATATCGTCTGACGCAAGTGACGGTTTTCTAGTCTGAGTGCTTCAATCTGTGCATTTGCAACCTAGTTAAGGGGAACAAAGTTCAAACAACAAACAGAGTTAGGAGCAGTGAAAAAAACAGCAACAAGTTAGAAAGTTAGTGTCAGGGTAGCAGGCCATGTTGGAGGAGGGAATGATGATGATGATGATGAAGTGGTTGAAAAATGTGAAAAACATGTGGAGTGCTTCTAGGTCAAAGTTGAGCCGTGACATTTTGTTTTCTAGCATAGAGCAGATAATTAAAATTTGGAATTCACATCAAAGTTCATATTTATTTTTTTACAAGCTCACAATGAACATCAATCATTGAGACTCAGGAGCATTCAATGAATGTAATAAGAGTACTGAGAACAGAATCTACTCTTCTGAAATCTCGCTTGGAATTTCTTTCAATTCTAAGTGAGAAAAAGATATCTGCAAATCATAGGAATGCTATGGAAACTTAAAAACATGAGTGCTAGTGATGAAAAAAATGTGTGGGTGCATGATTGCAATGAGTAATAGCAAATAGTGTACATCTTTTTGTACAGACCTGTAGCTCTGCCTGTCTTCTGTCGAGAGCCTCAACCTCATTCCGTAACTGAGCCTCAACATGGCTGGATTCCTCACTTAAATCTGCCATTGTTTTGGTGCGATCATGCAGGTCTTTGGTTAAGCGTGAAATCTCTGTCTTCAGACCTTGAACTTCTGGTTCATACGCATCTTTCTGGGTGAGCTGTAGCTCTCTTAATTTACTGACTTCTGCTCTCAGTCTTTTCACTTCACCATTCTCTAACTTTGTCAACTCAGTTTTCTGTAATATGAATAAAATATTTCATAAAATTATCAGGTAGATGTCTTGCAGTTTCACAATTTTGAAAACATGAATTAATGTTTAAATCTTAACAATTTTGACATTTTTGTAAACAAAATTATTAAAGCAAGACCAAAAGGAGCATATAGAACAATGATAAGGTTTCAGCACATCAAGACTTCATTATCATTATAATCTTCGTCAATCTTTCTTATACATTTACATACAATCTCCAAAGCTATTTGGCACTGCAGTAACACAGAAATTGATAACTTTCAGTCATGGTTGACCTGTCTCACCTTTTGTTCCAGTTGATCGGTCAGCCTCTCGCAGTCCTCCACGGCTCGCTGGAGATGTGACTGTAAACTGGACAACTCCTCCTTCATTTCCTTCTCATGTTTTCTGCACATCCTACAAAACACACACAACATTCTCATTTATTATTATTTTTGACCAATCATCTTCATAGATCTTTTTTTTTGTTTATTCTAATATGAATTTCCTTATTAGACTATTCTCATGTCTGAACATCTAACAGTAAGCTGTATATTCTAGTGACTATCAAGAGTTATTGCCCTTTGACTACCTGGCCTCCTCTTTAGCGTCCTCCAATGATTCCCTCATCAATCGAATCTGATCGCTCTCCTCCTTCTGTCTTATATCACTCAAAGACCTGCAGAAATTTTTTTTAAAAATATCATCTCATCATCTAGATCTACAATGTAGTTCTAACTTCTAGTTTACTTTCATATCCCTGGCATGCAGACTCAAAATCACAAAATATTTTTAAGACTTCTTCACAGACATTTAGAGGGAGATAACTCACTTTATGATCTCGTCTTTTTCTGCCAGCGTTTGCTCCATCTTTGTCATACTTTCACTGTGGATCCCTTTGTCCTCATCTAATGCCCTCAGCAGGTCCTCTTTTGCCCTCAATTCACTCTCCAGCTCAGCTTTCTCCTCTTCATAGTTCTATATAAAGACAACCTCTTTGAAGGTACCATGTACGATATTTTGAAATTGTGTCTCTATTGATATCTTGATACAGAAAAAAGTATTTGAAATTGTGCCTCTATGGAGGTTTCTGTACAATACTGTAAACATATTACATTTAGCTCTGTATTCTTTTTAGCGCCTTTGGCGGAAAGAAACGACCGCTAATTCATGTACAACGCTAAATGTCTTGCACATATATACCAGTACATAAATAAGAACGTTAAGAAATGCGCTAAATCAAATCTACCCTAATTTGTACAAAATAAAAAATTTTCGCCAAATATCGTACAAGCTAAAATAACACATTTACAGTATTTCAAAATGTGATTTGAAATTATCAAAATGTCATTTACAAACATCATATGTCATAGTGCCTACAAATTTGTAAAATAAATATCCCCCATCCTGATATATTCAACCTAGTGACCTACTCTGATTGAGTCGTTGGCCTTCTTCAGGTCATTGAGAAGCTTTTCGTTGTCATCCATTGCTTTTTTGTGTGCCGTCATGGCGTCATCCAGCGAGGATTTTAACTTTTCCACCTTAGTCTCCTGTGGAAAAAAAGCAAAGAATTCACAAATTGAAAGTCAAACAATATCTAGAGAAGAAACTAGCTATTGAATAGTTCACTTATATTTTGTTTCAATACTTGTATGTTTTTTAAAATGAGAGAAGAGGAACTAAACAGCTATATAAACACAAAGCCAGATACACCTCTTGTGAATTTCATGTGAAAAAGAGTTTCACTTGAAAATCACACAAGACACATTTTCTGTGTACAAAATCTACTAACAGAGTAAACCTAGACAGCTATAGATGATAGAAGAGAAAATGTACATTAATTATCAATGAGAGTGGTTTGATGCTATTAATACACTGCACACCTTTAGATGTAGACTAGTATACATATATACCTGTGATGTTAGTGTATCATTAGTCCGCTCTAACTGTCCCTCTAACTGAGTTATCTGATTTTTGAGACTCAACTCAGTGGAGTCGAGCATCTGTTTTCTGCGATCGAGTTGAGATTGGTACGTTTGCGACTGGCTCTGTGAAGATGAGAGGGTGAGTGATAAATTTATGGTCGTGAACTTAGTTCTCAATCGTGCATTACATGAGGTGCTTACAGATTAATTATATTAATGTGCATGCCTTATACGTGTATATTATTCAGTGATATGCTTTTCATTATTTTTGCTAGAGTATGAAATGATGAGGAGCTTTTTTTTTTTTTTAATTAGACTTTTCTCATTACATTATTGAAGCAGATTTAATATTTTCCATCTAAATATGAAGAAAGTATGGCTGAACTTTACAGTGTTGGAATTTTATTCCAATATGTCTTGGATAAGTTAAATCTATTCTTAACTTAATCTTTAAAAAAATTACTGTACATAAATGCATTCAAAGGCCTAAATATTTATGAGACAGTACATATTGATACATGCAATAACTGACTATTCTAAGCAACTGAAAATTGAGTAAGTAAATGAATAGATGAGACACTCTGAATGCCATTGTGTAAAGAGATAATGGCATTACCTGAATGAATTCACATTTCTCTGTCAGGGCTTTCCTCTGGGACTCCAGTGCCTCAATCTGCTTCTGAAATGTCCTTCTTTGTAACTCCCAATCCTTGGCTTTCTGTCTATATTCCTATGTAATATAATGTCAAAGTCTGTTAGCTTTACCTTCAAGTGTACTCTGAATGAGCAAGGAATATCAATGTTTAAACAAGTTAGTTTTTTTCTTTAAATCACATTGGCAACTGTAATCTTATCTACTTTCAGATTTGTTTCTTTGCCCTTTCCAACTAGTGGGTATTGATTAAATATACATTTTTCCTTATCATTTACACTTCTCAGAGGAAAAAAAAACATGCAACTTAAAACTTTTGTTGGCATTACAAATTCAGACATGTTTCCTTTAGTCACAGTTTTACCTCTCACAGGTCCCTATTAATATGGTGGCCAGAGGTATGAAATAACTTGATTTTATTGTGCCTATATTCCCATACTTATCTGTTACATTTGGACATTTATTTCATGGGTAGGTATATTGTTGTGTAGTTGTCCTATATTACTATACTGTAAACTTTGTGTAACTTGAGATATCTCAATGTCTCTGTATTAACCAGTATATGTGTTGTTGAAATGTCCTATCTCACTATTACTGTCCTGTATCTCAATGTGACTTGAGATATATCAGTGTCTCTGTACTTACCAGCATCTTGTTGTTGAGTCATCCTATCTTGCTATTACTGTCCTGTATCTCAGTGTGACTTGTGATATCTCAGTGTCTCTGTATACTTACCAGTATTTTGTTGTTGAGTCGTCCTATCTCGCTATTACTGTCCTGTATCTCATTGTGACTTCAGATATCTCAATGTCTCTGTACTTACCAGTATCTTGTTGTTGAGTCGTCCTATCTCGCTATTACTATCCTGTAAATCAGTGTGACTTTTGTCTTTATCTCGCTGATGGTCCTTTATCTGTTTCACGTGTTTCTTACTCAGTCTCTCGTAATCTCTCTTTACTTTCTGAACCTAAAAAGAAAGATTTATTAATAACTTTAATGTGGTTCATTTAATTTCATTTATCTTGGTAATGCTGCATCACACCTGACAGATTTAGCATTTGGTACTGTTTGTTTTTTTACTCAATTTGTTAGAAATTAAAAAAAATTAGCATTTCTTATTTGTTAATGAAAATTACTTTCAATTAATGAAGAAATAGGGTTTTACAATAAAAACTGTACTCATATGACCTTGACCTTGCATAAAATGTCTCCCTTTATGTTAAAGTTCCAGAGTTGCAAACACACAGAGAGAATATACATGTAACATTATGTCCCCTTTTCTTCAATTTGGTGACATAAAAAAATGAAGTAAAGAAACTTAAATATTTATAGGCAGTAAAAAGAAAAGACAAGAGGCCCAGGGGCCACATCGCTCACCTGAGCACTATGGCTAAGAAAAAGCAGGATTCACTTCAGTCTTGAAAGGTTAAAAAGTTTAAATATAAAAGTGGTTTGGGGGGAGGGGGGGTGTCATGAATTGAACAAATTTGAATCTACATTATCTGAGGATGCTTCCATTTAAATATGACCAATCGTGGCTTTGCTGTTCTTGAGTAGAAGATTTTTAAAGATTTAACCTATGTATTCCTATGCAAAACTTTGATCGCCCATTGTGGCCCCACCCGACCCCCAGGGCTCATGTTTGAACGAACTTGAATGTACACTATCTAAGAATGCTTCCATATAAATATGACCAATCATGGCTTTGCTGTTCTTAAGAAATAGTTTTTTTTAAAGATTTTTACTATGTGTTCCTATGTAAAACTTTGATCGCCCATTGTGGCCCCACCCTACCCCCGGGGGTCATGATTCAAACAAATTTGAATGTACACTATCTGAGGATGCTTCCATATAAATATGACCAATCATGGCTTTGCTGTTCTTGAGAAGAAGATTTTTAAAGATTTTTCTTATATATTCCTATGTAAAACTTTGATCACCCATTGTGGCCCAACCCTACCCCCGGGGGTCATGATTTGAACAAACTTGAATGTACACTATCTAAGAATGCTTCCATATAAATATGACCAATCATGGCTTTGCTGTTCTTAAGAAATAGCTTTTTTCAAAGATTTTTACTATGTGTTCCTATGTAAAACTTTGATCGCCCATTGTGGCCCCACCCTACCCCTGGGGTCATGATTTGAAAAAAATTTGAATGTACACTATCTGAGGATGCTTCCATGTAAATATGACCAATCATGGCTTTGCTGTTCTTGAGAAGAAGATTTTTAAAGATTTCTACTATGTGTTCCTATGTAAAACTTTGATCGCCCATTGTGGCCCCACCCGACCCCGGGGGTCATGAATTGAACAAATTTGAATCTACACTACCTGAGGATGCTACCATATAAATAAGACCAATTATGGCTTTGCTGTTCTTGGGAAGAAGATTTTTAAAGATTTTTCCTATATATTTCTACGTAAAACTTTGATCCTCCATTGTAGCCCCACCCGACCCCCGGGGGTCATGATTTGTACAAACTTGAATATACACTACCTGAGGATGCTTCCATGTAAATATGACCAATTATGGCTTAGCTGTTCTTGAGAAGAAGATTTTTAAAGATTTTCCCTATATATTCCTATGCAAAACTTTGATCGCCCATTGTGGCCCCACCCGACCCCTGGGGGTCATGATTTGAACAAACTTGAATCTACACTACCTGAGGATGCTTCCACATAAGTTTCATATTTTCAAGCACAGTGGTTCTTGAGAAGAAGATTTTTTAATGATGCCATTAATTTTTCACGAATTCCTAATTATCTCCCCTTGGAAGAAGACGTGGCCCTTCATTTGAATAAACTTGAATCCCCTTTACACAAGGATACTTTGTGGCAAGTTTGGTTGAAATTGGCCCAGTGGTTCTGGAGAAGAAGATGAAAATGTGAAAAGTTTACGACGACGCCAACTATGACGACGACAGACAACGGACAAATTTTGATCAGAAAAGCTCACTTGAGCCTTTGGCTCAGGTGAGCTAAAAAACCAAAACAAGGCCTACCTCATTTTTGAGATTGGTCAGTTGCTGTTCGTAACAAGTGACCAGTTCTCTGTGAGATTTCTCCATTGTCTCAACCTGAAGTCGCAAATGACCAATCTGCAAAACAAAAGAAAATTAAACTTAATTTTCATGTACATACCAGGTATTAATGAATAAATTTTTATAAAGTTTAAGTAAATAAGATTGTAGACTATGTTGTTTTTACGATTAACACTAAATACATTTCATATTTATGCATGCTAAAAAACCAAGACAATTTTTTTCTATCCTGAATACAGACACTTTTTTTGTTTGGTTAAAGGTTTAAAAAGCTCAAAGACAGGTACCAAGTTGCACTTCATTCTCAAAGACAATAAACATGCAATAAATATACTGGTAAGTATAATATATCGTAAAATTATCCCTGCATCATAAGCCTCCTACCCACCCACTCAGGTAACTCAAACATTAACTTGACGGCAAAAAGTATCCTCTTAAAAATAGGAAAAGAAAATTCAAAATACCTTTTCAGTCTTTGTGAGACCTTTATTTATGAAGGTCACGTGCAGTCTGTACTTAATTCCCCTAATTAAATCCACTCAATGATTTTTTGGCTTTGTTTGCCCCGACATTGTAAACCGATTAGCCAATGACTGCATTAAAGTTTATGAAGATGTCAATTAATTCCTGATTAGAATTAATTTAATTTGAACATGTTGAAAATATTTAAAATGTGCACAAAGCAGAGATGTGCAGTTCATAATGATTTTTTTTAAAATTTTGAAATATGCTTAAAAAGAAAAAACTGGAGAAAGGAATTAGATATTGTTTGTATTCTACAGACATTTCAATGTATACAGTTTAAGTCATCTTTTGGAGTCATTTTTAAAACTGCAATGGGTCTTTTTTTTTTATATCGATCTCCTTAATATGTGATTCAGGGCATATAGTTTTTTAATTATATGTTTTAGTAGGATGGATTTTGATTTAATTTTAATTTTAATTTAATTGAAATAATTGGAAAACTCCTTAGCCACACTGGCAATCAAATAAAAGGGGGGGGGGGACTTGGGCAGGACACTTGAGATGACTTTTTGGACATCAGGAACTATTTGGAGAGGGTTGTGCTGTCTGGGATATACATAGTCCATACATACCCAGTAATCAGGTACCAACCCAAACCATTATTGATAAAGCAGATAAAAATTAGAACACAAGACACATACAATGTACTCTAGTGTTTCAAAAATCACATCCCTATGAGTATAGAAATTCTCAAGAGATTATTTTCAAAAAAAAGAAAAAACAGTTGATTCTCACCAAAGGAAAAGGTATTATCTGAAATATTCATCAATAATCATTTGACTAGAGGCTTATCAGATAAACAACCCAAGATGTGTCAAGCATGGATTAAACCTGGGCTCTGTATTTCTGAACTAATTGCAATGGGCGATAGACTTATTTGTCAGCAAGATTACTCAGATTTACACAAAAGAACTTTAAATATGGAACGCTTCCAACAAAGTCCTTCAAATATTTAAAACCTGCTGACAATTTTGTCAAATGGCAAATCTGAGTTCAAAATTATAAATAAAAAAATATTTCAAATATTTAAATAAGCATTGTTTTAGTCCTCTGTAAAACTTTTCGAGTTCATTTTCTCACTTAATTACTACTATAAAACGTGGAAGATTTAACAAAGTAAAATTTTGCAATTTCTATGCAACAAAGTGTTCACAAGGGGGTTATTTTTGCTGAAGTTAAAAATTATATTTAAGTTTATTGTTGTATTGTACAGTAGCTTTTTTGAATCTTCACATGGCAAAAGATTTTTCAAAACTTTACTCATCGCAAAATTTGCTAAAATTTTCCCCACAAAAATTCGCTAAAATTTTCCCCATACAAACATTTTCATGTTTACAGAATCACCCAACAAGAAGGAAAATAGTTTTTCTGTTAAATGTCATTCAAACATTCAAATACAGTATTATGATGTCACAATCGCTTGCTATATGAACAACAACCCCCCACCGCTTCCTTGCACAGATGTCCTTGTACAGACAAATAGTAGAGATGTCCACACAAACTGGTGTTACTTAGAAACATTTCAAGACATTTCTCAAACTAAGTTGAGGAAATAAACCCTAGCAATTTTCCAATTAATGAATAACTAAATGGAAAAGTTAAAGGAAATTTTAGATATAAGATTGGCACAGTCAAACCTCATTATCTCGAACTCAGAATATCCAAGGATTAATCATAATCTTTATTGTGATTAATCATTTTTATGAAAAGTTATTTACGAACTAATCTTCTGAACAAAATCATTCATCCTGTGTTAATTAGGTACCTATATAACCATGCTGACAAATCCTACCTCTTTATGCTTTTGCTCAATGGTGGACTTCTGTAGCAGACTTTCCTTGTCCTTGAGCTCCATTTTACTCTGAAGGCTCGTAATTTGGTGTTCCCAATCTTTCTTTTTAGTGGCCATCATGATGTCGATCTGTTTCATCAACTCCTGAAGCTCGGCCTCGCAGCTTGCTGTCAACACTCCTTTAGGTAACCTACAATATCAGTCCTCTATGGCTTTAGTTTATACATGTATCAATCCTTTCTGGCTAAAGTTTTAAAGTGATTTAGTACATGTATTGTGGCCATGAAAATTCAATATAAGCTCCAGACTGATCTGATTTTTCATTCATTGTTCACAATAAGTAAAACCAATATTGTCATTTTTACAAGCTATTAAATTCGAAATTTTTTTCAAAGGTTTACCAATATTTAAAGTGTCATTTTTATGCCATAAGAACCTCCCCACAGAGCTGCATTAAGGTAATGTATATCTTATTTTTAAACCAAAATGACAAAAGTAATGAAAAAGAATCAATCACAGATCAATCAATTAATCAAGTATATTGATCATAGTATTCACTTACTCTGCTTCAGTGAAATAGACACAGGCACCCCCGGGGTACCACTCTGTACAACTCTTGTATGTGTACATTTATACACCCTCAAACTCTCAGATCCCAATACACACACAGGAACATACTGACACCCTGCGACTTCAGTCTGATTTTGAGGCTAAGTGATCTACCCGTAAATACCTCCGAGCTAATTAAACGACTCGTATGAATTGATTGATTCATTAAAATACAGGAGGACTAGCTGTAACTGATAATTTAGAAGACCTCACCTTTTATTCATTGCGTATTTAAACAGTTCTTCCATACTCCGCTGACAAGAGATAAAAATCACAAACTCTGACAGTTTCTACAGCTAAGACATGTCAAGTCAGATCTCAGGAAAAATCCATAATTCTGTGTCCTATCAAAGATCCTCTTTTAAAAGCACTAAGACAAATCCAATTTATTCTTCCAAAGAACTGAGCCAGTTTGAAATGTTAGGAGACAATTGATTTTTCTTGTAGATAGAAATCAGTAAGAGTGAAAATCAATACGTCATTAAAATTCAGCTTTTAATGACCAAAGATCAAACACTGATCATACAGTTTTCTTTTTTATTTTTGAAAAGAGAAATGGTAAAATGGTACACTAGGTAGAGATGTATGGAGAACTGTCAAAAATACCAAATGTGCACTAGCTATAAAACCTCAACTATGATTTCAGAAGTTGATCTTACAAACATGATAAAAGCTAGCAGGTACAACACATTTCTTATCTTTTATTACAATAAAAGAGGTAAGTGCTAAAGTGCTCTCTCTCTCTCCCCCCTCTCTCTAAAATACCTTAAACTGTGACATTATTTACAAGTAAGTGTGAAAAATCATGTGCAAACCAAAATAATTCTAACCCTCAAAATAGCTAATCTTAGCCACTATTGTATAGCATTTTTTCTGTTCACAAACTGTGCTAAGCACTCAAACAGCAGACAGCAATGTGCTACCTATGGCCTAAATGAAATCGGCACTCTGCACTATTATATTACCCTTGACCTCAACACACAAGGTTATGTGCTAAGAAAATTTTGTGTATGCATGTTTTTTTTTAGCAGTATCACACCAATCTTTTTGAGTACTCACTCGTCTTTCTCAGTCATTTTATAAAAAAAATTACATCTTGGTGGAAATTATGCTACAAAAGATTTCTCTAAATTTACCAATCACACTATGCTACAAAACATGTTCATATTATGGCATATATAATCTGTACACCTGAAAGTGATACCTTTGTCAACCTACTAACCCCATTAAAGAAGAATTAGAAACAATCAATTTCAAAATCTTAAATGAACCTTGAAATGTCATGATGTTCTTAATTAATTCTCATTAAAATATGTGTAATGTTAGATGTATTACCGTGGAATAAGTAGCTTAATTATTGGACTGCTTAATGAATAATCTTAATCATCTTACATTACAAAAAAAATATCTTGACTATAAATGCAAAGGAACGTGTACTTTGCACTTACAATTTATCTAGTTTGGTAAAAATATAACATGTACAAAAATCAAATAATATTTGAATGTTAGTTCATTTCACAATAAACATGCTTTAGTAAGTCCAGAAAATTATCACAATTATGACTTAACATCAGGATTTCCTGATATGTACAAAACAAGAGGCCCATGGGCCACATCGCTCACCTGAGTAACTTTGGCCATGCTGTTCTTTACCAGATTTCCCCCCTTTTAATATACCTATTGTGGCCCCGCCCTACCCCCGGGGGTCAAAATTTGAACAATTTAGAATCTACACTACCCCAGGATGCTTCCAAATATGTTTCAGCTTTATTGGTCCAGTGGTTCTTGAAAGAAGATTTTTAAAGATTTTTCTTATGTATTTCAATGTAAAACTTGGATTCCCTATTGTGGCCCCGCCCTACCCCCGGGGGTCATGATTTAAACAATTTATAATCTACACTACCCAAGGTTGCTTCCATATAAGTTTCAGCTTTTCTGGCCCAGTGGTTCTTGAGAAGAAGATTTTTTAAGATTTTTCCTATATATTTCAATGTAAAACTTGGATTCCCTATTGTGGCCCCGCCCTACCCCCGGGGGTCATGATTTGAACAATTTAGATTCTTCACTACCCCAGGATGCTTCCATATAAGTTTCAGCTTTTCTGGCCCAGTGGTTCTTGAGAAGAAGATTTTTAAAGATTTTTCTTATGTATTTCAATGTAAAACTTGGATTCCCTATTGTGGCCCTGCCCTACCCCAGGGGGTCATGATTTGAACAATTTATAATCTACACTACCCCAGGATGCTTCCATATAAATTTCAGCTTTTCTGGTCCTTTGGTTCTTGAGAAGAAGATTTTTAAAGATTTTTCTTATGTATTTCAATGTAAAACTTGGATTCCCTATTGTGGCCCCGCCCTACCCCCGGGGGTCATGATTTTAACAATTTAGAATTTACACTATCCCAGGATGCTTCCACATAAGTTTCAGCTTTTCTGGCCCAGTGGTTCTTGAGAAGAAGATTTTTTAATGACCCCACCCTATTTTTGTCTTTTCTTGATTATCTCCCCTTGTAAGGGGACTTGGCCCTTTATTTTAACAATTTACACTCCCCTTCACCCAAGGATACTTTGTATCAAGTTTGGTTAAAATTGGCCCAGTGGTTCTTGAGAAGAAGTTGAAAATGTGAAAAGTTTACAGACGGACGGACAGACGGACGGACGGACGGACGGACGACGGACAACGGGTGATCAGAAAAGCTCACTTGAGCTTTCAGCTCAGGTGAGCTAATGAGAGACTGAAATGGTATCTTTAACTTGAAACAAAAATAGTGCTCCAGGATCTACTCATGAAACTTTTTAATTAATTCTGTAATTCAACATTTTGTTTTTGTTTTTTAAATTTCTTAGTACGTGTACCTACTAGTAGGTGAACTTGTTACTAAAATATGGCATGAGATATTACTTTATGAGTGTTTTGATTTTGGGGAAATTTGGTTCTCCAGTTGTATACTATTTTGAACTTTCCAATTTTAATTTTCTCAATTCTGTTAATTGGCTAGAACAAGATAAATTGCATGAACATTTCGATATTACTGCAACTTTATCTCGTTTTTGTGGCTCAAAATTCACAAAAATCAGAAAATTACTGAAATAAACTAATTATATACCATACATTTGTACTGATTCAGAAATTAAATTTTTAGTTCAATGTCTAGAATACAAATATTGAAATTTATAATTATCTGCTTCTGACATGAGAAAAAAAATTACATGTATTTGTAGGATTGCACTCAAATCAGTTAAATGACAAAATGAAGGAGCCCCACCTCTGATCTCTCTGTAGATCCACCCACAGGTTTGAGATTCTGTCCATCCTTGTCTCATTGGGAAGGTCAGATTCCACAAGCAGGCTCTTAACTAACTCCCTGTACTCTGTAAAAGTATGTAACGTACTATGTATAGTAAATATAAATTGTATATTAACCCCACCCCATATTCACACAAATCATTAAAAACCTATATACATGTACACCTTGCACTGGGTGTTAATAGCCATGCATTTGAATAAATTTAAGTTATATTGTAGCATAATTATTTGCAATTGGTATTTTTTTTAATAAGCAAAGAGGAGGCTGAATGGAATATTTTTTCTTTCAATTTTCTTGTCCAAAAATTTATGGTGATATGGCAATTGATACCTTAGAATGAAAAAAATAGTTTAAAATATTCCAGGTATATGACAGGGTACAACTAATTGTCAGATCTAAAATGTCCAGTTGAAAATACCTAAGCATGCATCTTAAATCTTACAGAAGTTCTTCTGCCTTATCTTTAAGTATCCGCTAGTCAATATCTTACATATCTATGTACCTATATGAAGTGAGAACATCGATAATTCATAAGGAGCAAACATTGTAGATTCTACACTTACTTGACAATTGACACTGATAAGATTTTACGACAGTTTTACAGAAGCAACCCTCAAACAGTAATCCAATCAAAGAGATTTACAGCTCTCAGCTCTCAATGTCAACAATAAAATTGACAGATTGTCACACACAAAGAACTTGACTTAGAATTCTACCCTCGAATGTTAAACATGCTACAATGTTTAAAGAATATCTTTGCTCAATGAAAAAGACCTTTGTATTTGGGGGAGAAAAAAAAAACATGTCTGGCCAAGTGAATTAAATACCTAACTTCTTTTACAAATTAAATGGAAGATTGAAGGCACAATGCAATTAAAACACAATTTAATTGGTTTAAAGAAAAAACCCATTGTATAGGAACTGCACTTGAATTCAGTGGTGCTAATGAACAAGTCCTTACATTATTGTTACAAATCCTTTACATATACATATAACATGAATATTTAATTTTCAAAACCTTCAAAACCAGAGACACACATTTTTTCTTGACTTGCTTTGTGTTGTAGGGTCTACTAACTTAACAGATGTGTAAACAAGTAAAAAATATTAATTTATTACCAGAGTTCAAAAGATAATGATGAACATGATAAGCATGAGAAATCTAGTCATAACCTGGGCTCCGGTTACAAGCTGAAACTTGGTTCATAAGAGAAGAAATCGTTATATTTCAGAAAAATTTTATTCATAAGCGGAATCTGTTTTTCAGTTTAGGGGCCTTAAATTCATTTGAAGATGTCAAGACAAACCCATGGGAGAAAAAATAAGATAATACGTTAAGCAAGATGAAATCTACACCTAAAAGCAAAATATTGACTGAGGTTTCAATGTCTTCTATCTTTTTATACATATAGTTTTCAGACGTGGAACACACAAGTATCTCACCATAGTGATCAATAAAATCATCAAAGAAAACTTCTGCATGCATTATTATAGGTATTTCTGAATATTAATACACATTTTAATAATTGAAATACATGTATTAATTAAACATTACCTTATGGTCATAGGTCACGTGATAGGGTTATGAGTTAATGTTATCTTTTATAAGAGAGAGTCCACTTCTTACTAGAATCCCGAGTTCAAGGGACATGTAACAAGTTAAACTGTTTAAGAGTTCAAGAAATCCAGTAATAATTAGTGGTGCACATGATGGTAAAGAGCCTCTCTTAATACTTTTATAACAGAAAAGAAAATGTGGCATAACAAATTAGGATGTAAATCCAGGCTACATGAATTTTAAACAACTGCAATTGCAATCGCAATTTCTTGGGCCTTTCTGACAAGTGCAAAAACAACCTCAAATGTGATATGTAGGCATCCATGACACCCCCCTCCCTCTTCAATGATATTACTTAAAATATGCTACAAAAGGGAGAATCAACTCTGTCTATCCAATATTTTAATAAATTGCCGAAGTGACTTCATTTTGTATAAGATTTTTTCATCTGGTGATGTAAATGCATTTGAGGTGTTTTTCCAAGCTTGCTTGAAAGTATTCTCTTTAGAGAAGTGGACAGGCTTTCGCCTACATCCACTTCTCTTCGCATGCCTTCATGTTTTGATTCTGGAAAACGTGTAAATCTCGAACCGGTGACGGTCTACACTTCAACTGACATTTCGTCTAAAATACGGCTGAATGTACGTAATAGACGTGTTATATTAACAATTTTAACATAAATACACACAATTGTCACAAGAAAACTGACCTTTAAGTATTGTTAATCCATTTTCACAAGTTCTCCATCCCGGATTTAAATTATGTGCAAGTAACTCTTGAAGTATTCATAAATCTCTAATTCGGATAAAAATGGAAACTAATTTTACAAAATAATAAAAAAACGAGAGAAATCGTCTACTCTGTTTAAACTAATGAGACAGTATTTCCTCAAGTTTCGTTCAAATTCCTTTGATCTTTGTTTTAAATCTTTTTTCATTTCTCGGGAAAGGTAGAGTTAATACCATTTAAAAATAAAAGAAAATATTTTTTTAGTATTGTCAGTGAGGAAATAATGAAGTATTTTTAAAGCTCAAATTTACATTTAAATTGTATTAAAATAGTAAAAATAAGTATATGTAATAATATTAATTTTATATAATATGCTAAATCAAAAGTGAATTGTCAAAAACTTTTTTTGAACATTAAAATACGTCTTCGCCAATTTCCAAATTATCCGACTTAGAATTTTCAATTTTTTCTAATAAGCTGTGGTAGATAAACATTAGTTTAAATCCGGGACGGAGAACTTGCGAAAATGGATTAACAATACTTAAAGGTCAGCTTTCTTGTGATAATTGTGTGTATTTATGTTAAAATTGTTAATATAACACGTCTATTACGTACATTCAGCCGTATTTTAGACGAAATGTCAGTTGAAGTGTAGACCGTCACCGGTTTGAGATTTACACGTTTTCCAGAATCAAAACATGAAGGCTTGCGAAGAGAAGTGGATGTAGGCGAAAGCCTGTCCACTTCTCTAAAGAGAATAGCTTGAAAGGTCTGAGAAGATGCAGCTGCAACTGCTCCATCAACTCAAAGCTATCCAGCCAATGGGAAATAAGCCTGCTGAGTGCCACGTCCCCCCTTTAATGTCTTAATTCACCCCTTATGAAAAAACACCAGCATAGATTTGTCCTTGATCATTTTTTGCAGCTCATAGCAAAGCATGGCACCAAACATAACGGCTAAGGAGAAACTGTAATAGAAAAGACCAGGATATAAGCCCTGGTGCCCACTGAACTCTATATACAGATATACTCTAAGTTCTATGAGCTACCTGACCACCAGCAAACAAACTGTTGGCAACATTCTCCTAACTTAGATCTTTAATGTACTGTCAAACCTCATTATCTCAAACTTCACAGGACCAAGAAAATACTTCGAGATATCCGAGGATTCGAGATATTCAGGGTAAAACACTTAAGAAATAAGCGATTGGGACTTCAAAATCACTTTGAAATATCCATGGTATTCGAGATATCCATGTTTGAGATACCAAAGTTCAACTGCATTCATTCCTGAAGATATCAACCTACTCTCTCCCTGGCATGTTTCTATTGACAATGTCTGTTGTTTTGGGGATTGATCAGGGCATGAAGTGTATCAGAAATGATGAGAAGGATCAACCTGTAATTCAAACTTAGGCCTCCCTTATCTCTTAACTTTAACGATTGCAACATAAACAAATCAAAATATATCTTGCCATAAACTATAAAATTTGAGTACAAATAGAAATGTTCTACACCTAGTGATAAAGATGTAGCCTTATTACTTACGATAACCATCATGACCATGATAACATAACAATTAAATGTCCCCCTATCTGAAAATATTAATATGTTCTTTAACTTACTTTGCCTTATCATGCTCATATATTCCAATTTTTAAAAGAGATGCAAAATTTTTTTTTTTTGAAAAATGATGATAAAATGATACTTTTAAACATGTTTCTACCTGTTGGTTATGGTATGCCTTCATGACAGTTCATGCTGTTTACAAATATGTACGAAATTTTCAAGCTTGAATGGATTGTCAATAAACTAAATAAAATAATACTTACACAAAAAGAAACACTACCATTCACTTATTTCTGAAAAAAGAAGCAAGTAGTTTAAAATAATTCCCTCTTTTTTTTGTAAACACTCCGTTGACAAACAGAAAGTGGAGCATTTCCGGCCTTTACGACAATCACAAAGGGGGCGTGTCATATGACAAAGTGAAAGTAAATCAAAGCTGCAAAATGTTGTTGATGTTCGAAGACCAGCACAAGGAACACTTGTCGTTTCTTGCAAAAGTTAGTCCAGATGGTAAGCATTCGTTAATTTACTAACAAATTTCTTTATTTACCGTGGACTCGGCATGAAAAGAAACAATACATTTACGTGTACATCCTATTTTCTTTGGAGAAGTTACATTATGACTATCCAGCTACATAGGCTGAGGCTATGCCTGTCCAGTTACATAGGCTGTAGGCATGTCTGTCCATTTCTTTAAAAAGAATATTGTACAACCCACTACACAGGTACAATTACTTGTTTGAGCTATGTTGCTTAAATTAGCAGAAATGTAGTGGATTTTATGGGATTTTAATTTATCGCTTGACCAACCCATATTGATGTCCCTATAAACACATGATCAAAGCTTATATTAAATTTAACCCATGGTCTTGTTACTTCATTTACCTTTCAACTGTTCTCAACTGGCTTATGTAACTTTGTAGTCCCACTATGTTATTGTAACAGTAAAAGAGAAAAATGCAACGGACTAGGCTGGGATTCGAACCTGGGCCCCCTGAATCTCCAGTCAGGCTCTATACCAATATAGAGCTATCTGGCCAATGACGATCGAAGCCATCTGATCTCCACATTATTATAAAGGGGGCATAACTCTAACTGGCATTTCACTTTTTTATGTTCACAAAAATCCCTGTTTAGTAACTGAATGATACTGATACCAACAAAATGGCAGCTAAATTGATAATGCACAGAATTCTGACTTGTTAAAAGGATTTCATTCACCATACATTTGTAATGTATTGTGTCCGGATAGGGCCATTTCCAAATGCTCAACAGCGCATTCAGAAAAACATGCCATTGCGCTAACACACAACGCAACTTTACACAACACGCTGTCATGCTGTCACACACCTCACTAACACAACTTTGTGAGTTGTGTGTTAGCGCAACAGCGTGTTGTGTGTTAGAGCGACAGCCTGTTGTGTGTTAATTAGCGTGACGGCATGTTGTGCGAGCTTGTATTAGCGTGACGTTGTGTTGTTCAATGATGTGTTAGCACCATGGTGTGTTGTGTGTTAGCATGACGACATGTTGTGTGTTAGCGTGACGGCATGTTTTTCTGAATGCGCTGTTGCGCTTTTGCAAATGGCCCTATCCGGACACCATAGTAATGTTATTGTTATGTCAATAAAAAGAAAGACAACTTACTAAAATACCAACCTTGCTTTTTTACAATGTATTTTCAGAGAAAATCCAAACTGAAAAATTGCACATTTATTGCACTCTTGAATAAATACACATGAATTAAATTTATTGTTCAAAATTCACATTTGATTATTTATCATTGATAATCATAATAAGTCAGCTTTGTAACTTTTCAGTGGTTAAGGAGTTCTGCAGAATTAGTATGGAATTCATCAGAAAAGGGACGAATCCAAAGATTTTCCAAGGAGCAGCACGTAAGAACAGTGGTCAAGGAGAATTGCTAAAAAATTTAAAACGTTACTTCGCATAATGCTATTAAGTCTTCTGAGTGAGGTTATATTGCAATTAAAATGTATATTGCTGTTATTACATTCTCTTTTCCAAGACATGAAAAATGAAAATGAAACTCAAGATTTGCTTCATTTCTTTTACTAATCAAGAATCTCCAGATATAAGATTTGTAATATTATTTATATACCAGGTATATGATAAATAAACTCTCAGATTGATTGTTTTTCAGAAAAACTGAATGTTGACGTGGATACTGTACAGCATGGAGTAGAGGGGCTTATGTACTTAATGACAGAAAGCTCTAAGCTTATGGTCTGTATGATCTAAAAATCACACAATTGATTTACTTTTTTAATCCTGAGTTGGACTATGATCTATCTGACATGACTCAAACAACTGTAATTTTACTTATTGGAAAGATTTTCATTGCATTATTTAGAATCACCTCAAGCTCATGGTTTTTAGATCTTTTGAATAATCAAGCAAGAAAATATAGAATGTACATGTATGAACAGTTACAGTCAAACCTGCCTTATCAGCCCACTGGCTTAATGATCACATAGCTATCATATTTTTTTTTTATTATTTAAAATTGACCATTTTTTGTAATGATAATCTGTATAAATTAGCTTATACATGTACTAATAATTGTACACTGTATATTAATTTCTTAATTTAAGACTTTCAGTGCATTATTTATAGTCATCTTTGGTTTATCATTTTTAGCTCACCTGAGCTGAAAGCTCAAGTGAGCTTTTCTGATCACATTTTGTCCGGCGTCCGTCTGTCTGTCTGTCCGTCTGTCTGTCTGTCTGTAAACTTTTCACATTTTCGACTTCTTCTCAAGAACCACTGGGCCAATTTCAACCAAACTTGCCACAAAGTATCCTTGGGTAAAGGGGATTCAAATTTGTTCAAATGAAGGGCCACGCCCTCTTTCAAGGGGAGATAATTAGGAATTAGTGAAAAAATAATGGCAACATTTAAAAATCTTCTTCTCAAGAACCATAGGGCCAGGAAAGATGAAACTCATGTGGAAGCATCCTCAGGTAGTGTACATTCAAGTTTGTTCAAATCATGACCCCCGGGGGTAGGGCGGGGCCACAATGGAGGATCAAAGTTTTACCTAGAAATATATAGGAAAAATCTTTAAAAATCTTCTTCTCAAGAACAGCAAAGCCATGATGAGTCATATTTATGTGGAAGCATCCTCAGGTAGTGTAGATTCAGGTTTGTTCAAACCATGACCCCCGGGGGTAGGGCGGGGCCACAATGGAGGATCAAAGTTTTACATAGAAATATATAGGAAAAATCTTTAAAAATCTTCTTTTCAAGAACAGCAAAGTCATGATGAGTCATATTTATATGGAAGCATCCTCAGGTAGTGTAGATTCAAGTTTGTTCAAACCATGACCCCCGGGGGTAGGGCGTGGCCACAGTGGAGGATCAAAGTTTTACATAGAAATATTTAGGAAAAATCTTTAAAAATCTTCTTTTCAAGAACAACAAAGTCATGATGAGTCATATTTATATGGAAGCATCCTCAGGTAGTGTAGATTCAAGTTTGTTCAAATAATGACCCCCGGGGGTAGGGCGTGGCCACAATGGAGGATCAAAGTTTTATATAGAAATATATATATAGGAAAAATCTTTAAAAATCTTCTTCTCAAGAACAGCAAAGCCATGATGAGTCATATTTATATGGAAGCGTCCTCAGGTAGTGTAGATTCAAGTTTGTTCAAATCATGACCACTGGGGGTAGGGCAGGGCTGCAATGGACTATCAAAGTTGTACATAGAAATATATAGGAAAGATCTTCTTCTCAGGAACAGCAAAGCCCAGATTGTTCATATTTATATGGAAACATCCACAGGTAGTGTAGATTCAAATTTATTCAAATCATGACCCCCGGGGGTAGGGCGGGGCCACAATGGAGGATCAAAGTTTTACATAGAAATGAATAGGAATAATTTTAAAAATCTTCTTCTCAGGAACAGCAAAGCCCTGATTGGTCATATTTATGTGGAAGCATCCTCAGGTAGTGTAGATTCTATTTTGTTCAAATCATGACCCCGGTGGGTAGGATGGGGCCACAATGGAGGATCAAAGTCTTAAATAGAAATATATAGGAAAATATCTTCTTCTGAAGAACTGCAAACCATGATTAGTCATTTTGATATGGAAGCATCCTCAGGTAATGTAGATTCAATTTTGTTCAAATGATGACCCCCAGGGGTTGGATGGGGCCCATTGGGGGATCGAAAGTTTTACATAAGAACATATAGAAAAAATATTTCTTCTCAAGAACAGGAAAGCTATGTTTAGTCATATTGATAGGGAAGCATCCTCAGGTAGTGTAGATTCAAGTTCAAATGATGACCCCTGGGATAGGGAGGAGCCACAATGGAGGATCAAATTTTTACAAAGGAATATATGGGAAAATTTTTTAAAAATCTTCTCAAGTACAATAAAGCCATTTGTTATATTGACATGGAAGCTTCATCAGGTAGTTTAAAATTCAAGCCCCCCCCCCCCTCCCCCACACCCCCAGGTAATCTTTTCAATACTGAACTGATTTGTGCTTTTGCCTAGCCAATGTGCTCAGGTGAGCGATGTGGCCCATGGGCCTCTTGTTTCATAATTATAATCATTGATTGTAGTTGAATGAGATTGATTTCCAAGACTCCATTATGACACTTGGATTCGAGGAGGACATCAGACAAACACTTCTGGAGATCTACCTACAGAATCGACGAGAAATTAGAACCATCTTATCAGAAATGTCCATGGATCTCCCTCATTACCATAACCTGGAGTGGAGATTTGATGTACAGGTATTGATTTTTTTTTCATTTTTAACAGCAATGACAATGATCTGCATTAGGTATAAAAAACAAAACAAATAGATAACTGAGCAATGAATTGTACATAGTGAGAAGTATGTGTGCCATTGATGACGAAAACTTAAATTATGTGTCTGGTATACCATAGCTACTATTTTGTATTGATGAAAAAACAGATACCTGTACAATTAAATTTATTGTATATTATTGTGAATGTTTTTGTGAAAACGCATTTATTTAAGAAAAAAGGTATCATTTTAAACATCTATCAGGATATAAATACGGGTTGGTCACGAGATCAAATTCTATAAAGCCCAAAGGGCTTTATGGTAAATTTGATCTCGTACCAACCCGTATTTATAGATATGCATTGCTTTTAATAGTGTTATATAAAAGAAAACATTTGCAAATGTAAATATTCTTATTTCTGGATGACTACTGCATGCAAACACAAGTAAGGCACTGAAAACTGTATATCTTCACTTAAGTTTATGAGACTATATTTTCGCAAGACAAAATCATGGTGCATGCCTTTATCTTTAAAACTAGAAAGTTATATTTACTCCAGATCACTTTAATTCTTTTACAATTTATCTGCTTGCAGGAATGCTATTCAAGCTACTGAATGAAAAACTCCCCTCTGAAATGCATACATGTACATTGATCTGTTCCATTTAATATATTAAGTCACAGTTAAAGATTTGCCAATGCCCATATGACAATGTGTTAATGGTAGTTTGCAGGTGTACTTGGTGCTGTGTTTAAAGGGCAACAACTCTTACCAGCTAATCATGAAGATGTTAACTTACACCCCCAACCTTTTTTTTTCAGTTGGCCAGTAGGTCACTCAGAAGACAGACCACTCCCACAATTCTGTTCAAACTTCAGACAGAAGAGTCAGGAGTCAAGGACACTACAATTCTACAGACTGACCCAGTGAACTTAATGCACTTAACCAAAGTTCTGGACGAGGCGCTTCAAGAAATGAAGTCACCCTATTGCAGGAGAATAGTTAGAAATATTAAATGATTTGAAACTCTAAAATATGTGCATTAATCTTTGACATTTCTAGAGTGGATGCCTTGATATACAATGTTTTCTAAGTGAAACATTCTTTATGTACTGATGTGTGAACCAAGGTAGAAACAAGCTGATAAAAAGTAAAAGGAACAGGAATGACATGCTTTCTAAATCCATCCACCTGAACAATATGTGACTTTCACTGGAAATAAAGTCAATACATTGAACATCATATATACTGTACTGAATTTTATACAACATGTATATTGTTTGTACTTTTTTTGTTGTTGTTGTTTAAGTTATACAAGTAAATATTTGTCCAATTTTCCAATAAAATTAAACTGTTCTATCACAGTAAAGAAATGCCATTTGCTTTGAAAAGTTTACATTGTACCAAATGAATATACGAGAGGCATTAAACTGATATATCAGGTTTATGAACTAAAAAACATGTCATCAACAGAAAAATCAGCTTTAGTGATAAGTTGGTATATGAATAAATATACTATTGAAATAAAGATGAACAGAGTTTAGTGATTAAATATTTACAAACTCTGTAGTTGGTAGTGTTTATAGGTTATTTATTCATATAAACATACTAAAGTCATGATCTTGAGTCTGTTTACTGTAAGAAGGGACTTAGCTTGCTGAGATAGTCTTTGTTCAAATTACATTGGTGACTGGTAGATTACAATTTATATTAAGTTTAAATTACTACCATATTTCCAAAGAAATTCTACACAGTACAGTTAAGGTGCCCAATGGAAATATGGGCAATTTTTTGTGACCAAAAAATACATTTTTTATTGGGATAGCGATTCTTTTTAGTACTTTACTAATGTGGGATAAATGTAATTATGGTTATTAACTACATATTGAGGACGATTAGATTTTCTATTTAGACCTGTCATGTGATTTGCGCACATATACCGGTACTTGCAGTATTGAGTTACTTATTAATTTCAGTAGTGCAAGGGCATAACCAAATTAAAATTCTAAGTTTATAGATGATGTTAAGATTTCCCGTTTAAATTAAGCCCCGCCTCCTTTCTGTAGACTTGACTGTGCTGCATAATGAAAGTATTACTGTATGCATCAAAATGAATTGTTAAACCTTAAATGGTTCTTCATTTTTCAATTTTTACTAGGCGATCCAAAAAATTTGTCTATGAATCGGTTGCTGAGATTTTGGACGTTGATAAGATGTTGGATTGCTTTGATGGTTTTTATGCCCCACTTTATTCCTCAGCATAGGTGGGATCAGCTATACATGTATCTAATTTGCATTTGTTGGTGTTGGACAAAATTGACAAAAATAAATCCACAGTTTTTTTTCATCTTTATTGTTAACATGGAAGTCAGTGCAAGATCATAATAAAAAGGTACGTCTAACAAAACACTTTATTGGGAGGGTTCTTGTGCAGAATGTGTTTTGCCAAACTGTTGCCTTTATAGCTTATTCATTATCTTCAGTCAATTACTGATCAAATTTTGAGTTTAAAAGAGCATGATATGTCATGATATAAGTATTAAATACATTGTAGTACTTTAACAAGATAAATTAGTGCCCCAAACTTTCCATTTTCTTATATAAATGTATTGAGTGCATTTATCTTTAAAAGTGTTGTATTTTATTAAAATGTTACTATAATCATATTTTTGACCAACATCAAAATGTACAGTTACTTTGTAATTAATAGTCCTACAAATAACAAAATAATTTAAACTTGCTAGGGAAAATATTCTGAAGCATGACCACAAAAATAAAAAGACTAGAACTTTCAAGTTTATTTAAAAGTATAAAGAAAATTACATAATTCAACACAACTTACAATAAACAATTCCATAACCCAACATTAAAAAGTATGTAAAATGTTCACAATCATGTAAATATCAAGAATCTTCAGAGTCGATATTATGCAATATCACATAAGGGATATTAATCCCATTATAAACTTGCATTCTGTACATTTGATCACTTCTTTGCATGTTTATAACCAATACTGAATCTTATTTTGTATTATGACAAAATATAGATAATAATTAATGAAAATGTAAATAACATTTTTAAGTAAATAAACACTTCTGTGTGCAGTGAATCTTGGTTTATAAAATGACATAAAAAATCTTGGTATAATTACGAATAAAAGAATGATGTTGTTTAAGAGGACAATTTTGTTCATCAATAAATGGTCATAATTCCTTCTGTAAGAAAAATAAGTTGAATGTAAGCATGCACAGAAAGCAATTCCTCAAAAAAAAAAAAAAAGCAACAATTGAAAATAACTGAGATCTGCCTCATACATGTCATATTCAAATTAAAAAGAAAAAAAACCTCTCACAAACACCCAACTTTTTTCATGATACTTATTTTAGAATTATAAGATTTCCATATGTGTCCCTATGAGATGTTTCTCGTACCATTTCATAACAAACAGCAAAAATTACACATGTAAAACAAAGGAGCATAAATTGAAGATTTAACATGATTTAAACTGGAATTTGGCTGTTTTTTGCGAACTACATTTATTTGTGATTGGATTACAGAAATATTATTCTCTACTAATTTTAATGTATCTGATATCATAATTGAAAATGCTTTCTGCAAAGGTATTAACAAATTACAGCTCAAACACAGTTACATAAAATCTGTAATAATTCTCATACAGAAAGGTGAAAGTAATATGTATCATAATACATGTACAATTTATTCTTATATCACATTAATATGTCCAAAATATATGCACACCTGAGCAACAGCTATATACAATACTGCATCTGTATCTTAAAATTATACATGTAAAAAAAAAATGCCCATGTTCAATCTCAAATATATTTTTTGCCACTGCTGTAGGGAATTTATTCAACCTATACACATAAAAAATTAAAAACAGATATGTTTATGAGAGAATCGTGATTAAAAATCTGTTTTTTAGCACCTGTAAGAGTAATTATCATGGATACAACCTTGGCAATGAACTCACACATCAAAAAAGAGTCTCTTTTAAAAATGCCCCAAGAAAATATTTGCTCACAGTCTCTTAACCAAAGAACTATTTCTTCACTATCAGAATAAATGTTAATGTTGAGCATTGCTATGCTTTCGGCCTTGTAGAAACGTAAACATAAGCCACAATAATGGCAGCGATAACTAAGAGGACAGGCAGGCATATCTTAAGGGCATTGTCATGGTTTTTCAGATTTTCTAGTTTCCTCTCTCTTTTCTCCTTTCGGTTTTCCTTCACTTTTCCCTTCAGTTGACGCATTGTTCCAATTCCAAGCTAAAAATCAAATTAATATATAGCTTCTCTAAGCATTATTCATCCAATCTAAGTCTTATTTTTTGCTGTACAGTATATATAAATATACTTTAAGATAACTACTTTTGAAAATATAATCTCTTTAGACGTGTCATAAACAAATTATTATTCTTGAAGACACATTTACAAAGTGTACAAAATTAACGAATACACAAAACATGTGCAACTAACATGACTAAATTACCTATCCCAGAAGAAATAATCCTCCTGTAAGATACTTCTTCTAAACACCCAATACTCTTGCTACGATGGAGAAAAAAAAACATAATGACTCTTAAGAAAACAATGTAGATTTTGTGCTTATTTTTTGGTACTCCAGTGCAAACATTTCATACTTTTCTTTAAGTTTTCGTGTGTTATTACTTTTTTATTCCTATAGTTGTACATACCTTTACTGCCACGTAACGAACAGCTTAATGAGTGCATGTAATCAAGACACGATACACCTAATAAAAAAATGTAAATTAAGTCTGATGTCACATTGTAATGAAGTTGACACGTTTCCTACTTTCTGTTTTACACTTTAACATGAAAGTGAAAGTAGGTTCCTGCACTGTTTCGAGGAAAAAGTGCAAAGGAACAATTAATTTTTATATTTTTAAAGTCTAGAACTAAAATGTCAAAAATATGATTAAGTAGAAAAAATACAATAATATAAAATAAATTCAACTATGCTGGGAAAGTATTTTATCAACATAAGGCTGTTTTCCCATGCATTCAACAGATGTTCAATGGTTTATTATAAAAAAAAAATAACGTTATACTTCCGTAGTTAATACAGTTTTGTAACTGTTAAAATTATTTTAAAGCAGCAATAAGCATGCCTCGTATAAATTAAAAGTTTTATCAGCAATACTGAACAAAAAACTTGTTTTTTATGTTTTCGCTTATTTTCATGTACCTTTTTCGCCAATTAGACATTTATAAACAATGCGCAACCGGAAGCACGAGTTTCAAATTTTTGTTTATGTCTGTGTCTGGACCTGTCTTCGGAGAGCGGCAGTGGGTAAACTAACGATTTCCAGCTTGGATAAATTTTGCAGAAAGATGTAGCATTGTATCAGAACCATGGAGGTACAATTTTTATATATTTTTGATTAATTTTATTTCTACTTCGCGCATATTGTAAAGATTGTAAGATATTTTCTAAAAATGTCAAAGGGACAAACCACAAGAACATGCTTGTTTATTCTATTGACTTCAACATGACAATAGAATATTAATGTAGCGTGACACTTTGAATACAATTTGAGAAAATGAGCGTTATCTAAAACCCAAATAGAACACAAAAATATTCACCTACGGCCATTGTTCCATTCACCACTGTTCACACCTCTGTAGATTAGTTTCTGTAAAACACAACAGAATATTATATTGATTATTATTTATTACAACTGGAATGTTATTTGAAGTTTTCATAAACAAATGTGGAAACATTCATTAATTCTTCTGTGGAATTTATAACATCTGTGTATTAGGGATTTATTTCTCTTAGACTTGACCTGAGATGACAGAAGTGATAATTTAAAAATTTCAATACACTGTCAACTTCAATGCTGTGATATTGTATTACTGTGAATATTCAGTGATTGTAATTTTTGATAAAGCAATGATCAACACCTTCTGATGACAGGTTTCAATGGCTTCACCTTTCTGTAAGCGATTTGTAAAAAATCATGTGATAGCCGGATTTATTGAGCATGGATGTGAAGATAATTATTCATTGAGTATGTATGCTCTGATTTTGGTGAAAGTATGGGGTTGAAACAGTTCTGAGTGATATGCAAACCCACCCAAGACTATACCCTCTAAATCATTACTTATTAACCTTTCATAGACATGAATTAATTATTACAAATGGCAAAAGGTATGTCAGGATATAAATAGAATATTGTTGGAGAAATTTATTTCATGCAGTAAAAACATTTTTTTTCAGACAAAAAAATTGATTTCTTCTTTTAAAGTAATATATTAAAATCCATTCGTTTCAGACATTGTAAACATAAAGAAGATCAAAAGGTCAATATAAATGAAATAATTTTATGTATTTAACCCCCTCCCTACTCTTCAACACTTTAAAATTCACAAAATGCTTGCTTATGATTATTGTTTGTATAAATTTATTGTCTTTAGAAAATTAA